ACCAAATGTCGTAATAAAGTTATGGCAAGTATTCTAACAATCACTACCAAAGACACAATGTCCTTAAACATATTTGACGATATTATTAAACAATTGTATGCCATCAAAAGAGAACAGGATCCAGACTTCGAGAAAGAATTTCCAGACCTCAATGATGATGACATTACTGAGCTCATTCTTACTGTTGAAGCAACTGTTGTATTCAAAGACAAAAGTGCTAAAGAAGTAATCGCATCAGTGTAAAATCATGAAAAATGCTCTTTGCAGAGAGACTGACAGTGACTTTCCAACATGTAAATAAATCATTCAATGTCGTTTTCGTTTAGTTCAAAAGTTTTACTTACCTATATTTGCGTCGTTGGCAGTATATTTTCGCTAAAATTTTACTCTAATTTTTGTAACCATTTCAATTAAAACATGTTACATTTGTCAGTAGTAGCAACTGGGAACTGCTGATTAATAATTATTCGTTTTAATGACGAGTAGGCATTATTACTTTTGTAAATGATAGGAGGAAATTCCACACAAAAACCCATTGCCATTGAGTTTTACTTAAAAGTTGTATTACATTAATTTCTTTGAAAATCTTTTTGACCAATATTTCACACTAATTGTCAAAATATTTGTAACCATTGTTATTAAAATACGTTGTTGTTCTTGGTACAAGTGGCACCCAAAGACTGCTTTCTGATATGCTATTTATGTTTGTCATTTCAAAAAGAGTGATTTTACTTGACCTGTGAAACAGAGAATAACAACTAGTGCAAAATACCTACAAGTAAACAAAAGAACACAATGGAATAATAGGACGTAATATTCTACTACCTATTTCACAGGTAAAGTAAGATCATTCTAAAAGGCATCAATATTTGGTATAAAAGCATGCCACTGCAAATGATGATTGGCAATAATAATACCCACACTCCCCCTAAAAAAAGGCTTCTCCACCCACCCCCTTAAAAAAGGCTTTATCCAATGCACCTATATCTGAACTCAATATTGGTGAAAATAACACTACCTAAACTGATTAAATGTTCACACTGAATAATATTTGTCAACTTGGACCTACTACGATTATAATTTTATTATTGTCTCAATGAAATTATGCCCGGAAGCTGGAAATGATGAGTGCTTTGTTCTGTGTAATTTTGTTGGCTGTAGCAAGAGCGGTTTTAAAGTTATAGAGGGGACCATCTGGAGTCCCCAGTCACAGGAAGCGAAAACAAGACCGGAATGAATAGGGTTAAGAGCTAAAAAATTTATAGTAAATAGTGCACTTAGCTCATCCAGCTAGTTTATGGGCACTCCAGCCAAATAATCAGGAAATTAGTAATTCAAATAGGACAAAACATAATTAAGACCACAACTGGCGTGGCCGAGGAAATTTTGAACTCGTTGCCAACGTCAGCAAATTAAGAAGATAATTATGATTATACATTCATATTTACACCTATCTTTGATTAAGGCTCACTTTAATTTCGCTCCACTCCTCTTAGGAAACTGATGCACTGCATGACCGGAGGAAACACGAATAGTGCACAATGTAAGTACGTTCAGATTGTAATTTGTGGATGGTATACCAAACAGGTTTTTGGAACGTCAGTTATTACAACATGTAGGACTGCACTTAGCCGGATGATCATATACCACCTTTACTTTACTTCTTTTTAATAGCAGATGGCCTTGGCCACATCATAATAACTATAAATTATAGTAAGCCCTAGATAGCTATTAGGTAAATATTTTTGACAATTTTATAAATCTGTATGTATAAGAGATAAGTATGTATGCTAAGAGAAAGGTTCGCTTTGGTGATCCATGAGAATAAAAATGCCAAAAAGATCTACATTATGAAACCCGATATAAAGCACATAGGGCTTTGTGAACCTCGTATTTTGGAATTCGAATTTAATTCACTTTACGTACGTGCACGTTTAGCACTTCGGCTTCAAATAAGACAATGATTTTATATCGAGTTTGTGGCTCGCATGAGCAATATCTTCTTGAGATTTAGACCCTGTTTACATGGAGTGGGGGACCTCGGTCTAGTGGGGTAAGTTTCTTTTGTTTTGTGTCTCCCAGAGCGTGAAAACAAAAGACACCAACCCCTTTAGACCGGGGTCCCCCACTCCATGTAAACAGGCCCTTACTTACGGGGGGTAGCCGATTTATTATTTTAGTGTATTTCCTTAACATCATCATTCTAGCCAGAAATAGAAAAGTAATTGCCTTTTTCTTTCATTTCAGGGCTATCCGGAAATATATCCAGTTGGACTAAAATTTATGACATTGTCTGATTTTGAAACACAATAGAGAATAACAAGATGCGCAAGAGTAGAGGGTTCTTAAGTCAACTTAACTGGTGCTCAATTAAATTTTAAAAAGATGTTGTTAAAATCCTATCTGTTTTTGCTTCTGTGGAGCTTAAACCAGCTTAAACCATAATAGCTAAACCACTCAGTTATGAGTCCTATCATTGTCCTTATTGATTTCTGCGGCAGTTTTCTTTCACCGTGGGGCCAAAACCACCGCGCCTCAATGTATCATCATATCGTGGCATACACGTATTGAGTTATACATGTATAACTTTGCTGCCTTTAACTCTTTCCCTATCAAACTTGGGCTGTAAATATGGAAACATCATGCAAATCACTTTGGTTTATAAGAATGACACCATAGTCACTAGAGGGGAGTGGTGTGGGTAGCTATGAAACCGAAAAAATTCATTTGATGTACGCTTACAGTGCGCACGAAATTTCCAATATAGTGGACAGAGGAAAGTGCGGTTAAAATCTGCGTTATATTTTGCCTTTTTTGGGTTAAAATGAATCAAAAGATCTTAGAGAAAATGAAGACTTTGAGTAAAAGTTGAAACAAAAAAAGAAGGGTCACCGCGCGTCACCCGTCTACCAACCTGGGTAAGACAACTTTTCTCCATGGTCTGCACTAGCAAGCTCTAAATTTATGGCGAGCGAAGCGAGTCGTGAGAGGACGCGCTAGCGAACGGCGAAGCCGCGGGGAGCGGAGGGAAGGAGAGCTTGCAACGATCTCTTATAAATTTTCATTTCTGCTTCGCCCACACGAAGCGAAATACCATTGGCTGAGAAATGACGTACCGCCAATTAATTTTGATTGATCATTCCTGGCTTACCTGCCATAAATGTTTACCGTACATTTAGAAACACGATGCTTACGGAAAACGGGAACATTATGATTACATGTACTCCTTTCTCCGGCGAGGAACATGATCGCTCTCTCCTTCTGTGATCAGTGATTGATTTCTGAGGACCATATGGCTGTATTTTTGCCGTTCAGTTTGGATCTCCATCTCACTGATTATATAAACCGGCAAATCAGAAGGTTGAGGAGGGGTTGCCAAGGACATCTGTGAGCAGGGAATAAGTCAGCACAGAATTTGATTGTCAGCGAATTTCTCTAATCGTCCATCGTTCTGCTAGTGATAAGCTACAATCCTGGACAAAACTACTTCAGAAAGTTTTCCCCATCATGTTCACTTTCCTACGCAACAAAACTATTTCCAAAACGACGCCTTTGCTGAAAGAAAACCCCTTCCCCCAATTCAGTGTTGTTTCCCACAAACGCCCAGGGATCAGGCTTTCGTTTGAATGCACAACAACATTGCTTTCAGGGGAAGGGGGAGAGGAAAGAACCGGTACAGCTACGATGTTTAGAAAAATGCTGTCCAAGTATTCAATTGTCTCAACAGTTTTGTCCAAGATTGTAGCTGTTGTTCACTCGTCTTGCTTTTTTGGGACTGAGTCTTATTCCGGTCAAGGTCTCCAAGACAAATCAAAGATTTGTGATCTCGTGTCTGGCAAACTCTCCAAGTGTTTATATATACACAGTTAAACGCACCTTATAACCTCCCCTGCGCTTAACCAGTGTCTTTTGGTCCATAACTTTCAAAACAACTGCTCCACAGAATGTCACTGCGTAACGCAAAAGAGTATCGAAGTATGACTGCACAATGAATGTCACAAAATCTACCTGAGCGGTCCCTTTGGGATTTTCTGTCTTTACGTCATCCTAACCATTTCGTCCTTGCGGGCGCAAACAATAGAAACGTCATCATTACCTACCGATTCCTCGCGGCCCCTGTTCAAGCAAACCGAGGGTTTTTCTATATTGACTGTATGACTGTACATTTCAACTGTAAGTACTTTCCTTAATATACCCGCGAGTTACTAGAGTGCCTCCTCGGGATTTCGCCTTCCGGGCGAAGTCCCTGCAGGGGCAATAGTCCATAACTAGCCTTAGAAATTATATGATCGATATGTGCGTTCCATGGCTAGTTGCGGTAGCTTGAGAACAAGGGGGAACTCAATATCTTTCGTAAGTTTCGGAATTAGTTTCTTACTATTTCCTAACCACCATTTCCTACGTCTTTTTGAGGTTCACAGTTAGGTCATTCGATTCTCAATAGACGATGCCAGTGTTATGTTCTACACCTAGTCTAAAGGTAAGTCCGGGGAATTAGACCTTATAGGGACACTCAACATGATATCGTCAGCATACTTCACGAGAAGATTTTTAATTTGCTTGGATTTATGGCCACGATATGTCATTTACGAAAACAAAACAGGGCCTAAGACAACCTCATCCCCAGGGCGTTCCGCCCTGGGCACGAGGTTGGGCCTAATTATAAGACAGTTCCATGAGAGACTCCGCTATTGACGTCCACAAACTTTGTTGACGGCTCCATCAACGACAACTTTGCCCATTCACTTGATAATATATGAATTTATGTTGGACGATTCGATAAAATAACTGTTAATAGATAAAGTAACGTTTTTTTAAATCCTGCGATTATTTATCTTATTGAATATATTACCGACATTCCAGGCCTTTCCGTGCACAGCCATTTTGCGATTATGCAATACTCTCACTCCGAGCTTGGGATGTCTGTGAATACTACTTATCGCGCGTGACATCACGCTGCCTCGGACAGTGTGGATGGTCTGCCTGTGGTGACATATTTAAAAATCCCTTTCGCCAAGTACCCACGGGAGTTGTTTAGCTTTTTATTTCGACACTGTTCTTCAGTTTTTGGCTTTCCAGAAGAACGTTTCCTTCTTTTCACTTTCAGTCTCGGAAATCTTACCCCAAAACTGATAACTCAGGTGAGGTTAACGAATTAATTTACGTGCCAACTCTCGAGCACCGAGAGTCCCTATCCCTAAAGTTCGAGTCATTTAAAAGTTTAGTGCCTCACGGCCTCAGAAAACACCCTCCATATAAAACAACCTACATCTAAGACTAAGAGTTTTCAGAAATTTGATCTGAATGGAACTTTGCAGTCCCTCGTGTATTTTTGAGCTTCTAATACAGTGTACTGAGTTCGAGTTTAGTTTAATTCTTGCCGATTGGCTTCCTCTTTCTTCGCGTTCCGCGTTCCGCGTTCGACTGCAGCATGCAGGCTTTTGTTTCACATCACATCTTTATCATGTTATTTTGATACATGCCGATCAACATCGCTCAGATCGGTAATCAAAGGAAATCTTATGATCGATTATTTTCGATTTTCGATTTTTGTCCATTGATAAGCATCGAACTCAATAGAGAACGATCAATTCTTATAGACTTTCGAAATTATCAGCCCTGTTAATTAAGTCAGTAACTAATTCTATGTTTGATACGAAAACCTATCTAATTACAATTCTTTCTGTCTTTGTTCTCCTATCTCTTTTCTTTATTTAGTGTTAAGCATGTACAGCATTTACGTTACCAACAAGTCTAGAAATGGGGTTTATATCCGCGTTCAGCAGCAAAAAATTTCTTCCGTGAATCCACGTTTCTGCCACGATTTGTATGCTATTCAAAATGGCAGGGTAAGGGGTGGAGGAACGGTCAGAACTCACTTACTTCAGTGGGGCTTCTGCGAGATCGCTCCTGATCAGACCATAACAGTCGCAGTGGATATAACAAATGAGGGACCACGGAAGTACGCATCGCTGTATGCTGGATCCAAATTGTGCACCGTGGACTTTGAAATAAATTGTCTGAGGTATGGCTGCCTGTTTGTAAAGAGGAAAGTGCGCGGCAACGACTGTTATGGAAGGCAAGAAGTAGAATATTTCTTTTACCAAGCTAATCCCCAGCCTGTTTGGATTCCAGTGGAAGACGGAAACCCGTTACCAAAAAAGATCATCAAAGCGGGCACTACAGGTTTTGGTCGATCTCCTGGAAACGGAGAGAAACCTCTTAAAGTGATTTTAGACAGCAATGGCTGTCAGCTTACTAATATCTATACTACTAGTAATATAGAGTCGATCTTGCGTAGTGGCACATGTCTTTGCGACACAGGCCACGAATTTGTTCCAGGTAACGTTGGTGATCCTGTACCTCCCCACGCAGTCATCGGTGGGGTTAGTGTCCCAGAAGGATCGCTGTACCTTGGGAGAGTCGGAGGCAACACTCCTTGTGTAATTGAAGTTGAAAGGGGCAAAGTTAAATCCTTCTGTTACGGCCTTATGAATAAGGTTCAAAGCGGCGAGATTTTAACTCTAACAAACGATCCAAACGTTTAGATGGCAGGTTGTTTACTCCAGACTAGATTTACAACTCGTGTTAATGCACTACTGAGTGGGACTCATCTTTATATATGCTATTAACTAAGTTTGTCTGTCATTGTTTTTTTAGCGAATGAGTCCAATGTACTGTAACTTTAAATTTCCTTAGTAATTTTTTATTTGTCTCTCTGAAACAGCTTAGCTGAACGCCTTGCATTATAAGACACAGTAAAAAAACGAGGCAAATAAATATGACCGACTTCTGCTAATCTGGCAAACCTAACCTAAGGTGAGGATGCTGACAGTGCACTAAAAATAGTTTGCTAAATTGCTCTATAACAAATACAGCGTGGTAATACTCACGTAGCTCATGCCACGTAATTTTCATTAATTTAACTGCGATCAGCCTTTTATTTTCCGCACGTTTAAGTAAGCACTGTAGACCTCATTGAAATTAGAAACTCAGTACACAGCGATATCAATATGGCCGTTATTTGTGATCTCACCCGTAACAGGAAACGTCCCTTTTTCTCAGAAAAACAGGATGTGACAAAACTCAAGACTATTTAAAAAACAAACACATAGCCTCCCCCGCCCCTCTGGCCTACTTCCCAGGGGGACGTTTTTAGGGTTTCTCCGCGCGTTTCTTAGATAAGGAGCAACCTAACGAAGTCGTAAGAACGTCTGCACCTCCTTATTACGGACAGTTTTCTTTTCTCCCTAAGAAAAGCCTGCATGTACCCATTTTTTGAAAAGTTTATGTTTACATTCATCCGACTGGTGGGTTATTGTCTGACTCTTGTGCCCCAGAGACAAAACGGTTGAAGCGTAACATTTCTTGAAGTGCGGTCAACACAGAAGCATGACCAAGTCGGATTGTAAAAGTTGATCTTGTGGCACCACTTTGTAAATTCGGCAGTGTAAAATGTAAGTGAATGAATTTTACACGCGAAATTTGGAGCTGCTCGGGAGATTCTGGTCTGCATTTCTATCCATAAAATTAAAATACACTGACAGCTCAGTTTCTCTATAAATCACACGGAAACTTCGCTGTCATTATAATTTCAAGTTCTTTGCTTGACAGCGTTGAATACAGAAACTTTCAAAGGTTTATAAGGTGTATTTATACAGGTCATGAACTAACATGAGCGGACTATCGGTGAGTAAAATCGAGTGTACTACACTCATTTTCCATCACTTCGGATATGACAGGTGAAGTCATGCAAAACTAGAGTATACATCAGCAGTTTGCGATGAATAGGACCCGTCCACACGTATCCGTTGTTTAAAACCGGAGATTTTTCTCTTCGGTTTGGCCTAACCGTCCAGACGTGTTCGGTCAAAATCGTCACCGAAAACGCATCTTTTCTGAAGCGCTCTCCACAGTGAAGATTTTTGATAACACTGGCTTCTCGTTTACGTTTGCACGGACGAAAACGGATGTTTTCGAATACGATGATGTCATGAATCATTTAATACCAGCATAACGCATGCTCCGTAAGGGATGCTATCGTATTCCAAATGACTAATGTTTTCGTATAGACGGGCGAGAACGGTTCCAATACGCTTCGAGTGGATGCGTGTTTTTTTGAAAACGGAGGAAAAAAATCATTAATTCTCGGTTTTCAAAAATACGCGGATACGTGTGGTGGGGGCCTCAGTTTAAATTTGTTCTAATGACAGACATAAGACGATGATTATTAGTCACATCTCGCCGCACTGTGATATAACAACTGGTAATGAAGGTCTGTTGTTAGGTCCAACTGGAACATTCTAAGTTGAGAAAGAAATGGAGAAAAATAGATTTCAATTATAGACACTAAATAGAACAACAACAACAACAACAATAATGATAATAATAACAACAAGAAGAAAACAAGAACAAGAGGGTGTTACAAGTAACCTCTCTTGGACGTGGTTGAAGAAGGGGGAATTCAAGAAGCAGACAGAAGGATTGTTAACAGCGGCCCAGGAACAGGCATTGCGAACCAATGCAATAAAGGTAAAGATTGACAAACAGGCTGTCAGCTCACAATACAAGTGGTGCAAGAGTGCGGAAGAATCAGTAAGCCCACGTAGTTTATGAATGCTCTGCGTTGGCTCAGAGAGAATATAAATGTAGACATGATGGCGTTGCAAAAGCTGGCAATTGGTGCCTGTAGAAAGTACGGATCGGACGTTACTGACAAGTGGTATGAGCATGTCTCTAAAAAAGTTTGAGAGTCCGAGAAGGTCAAATCCCTTGGGATTTTAGCATACAGACTGATCATCAGCTTGAACACAAAAGGCCTGATCTAGTTGAAGCAGACAAACAACAAGCAATTTGCCAAATTATTGATGTAGATGTAACAGGGGATGTAAGGGTGGAATTAAAGGAGAAAGAGACGACCTGGCAAGGAAATTGAGAAAACTGTGGAAGTTCAAAACAACAGCTGTGCTTATTGTTATCGGGGCATTGGGGACAGTGCCAAAAGGATTAGTTGGCCATCTTGAAAGCATAGGGGTGAATCTTGATGTGGCTCAGATTCACAAGACTGCCCTACTAGGAACAGCACGAATCCTCCGACGGGTTCTCGACTACTAAGGTTGCAGGATGGGACTTGCACCGGGAACTGGCTAACAGTTGAACTCTGAGAGTAAAGACATAATAATAATAAAGCAGAATCTATTCAAACAGCAGTGCAGCTTTGTTGATCATTATAGTAGCAAGATATGTCAGTTCTCAAAACCATCCGACCTGCAACTTCATCAAAGAAAGATTTCCCGAGCACATGGCAGTGCAGCTCAAGAAAACAAAGAAAATGACCATTTTATATATATATATATATATATATTTTTAATTAAACATAAATAGTCTCTAACTCGGAAAATAACTCCCCATGTTAGTGGCTTCCATGAAATCAACCATACTTTCACATACACCGACCATACTTTCACAGAAACTGGATTTTTAATCGCCACAGTTTCCAGTGGTTCACACTCCAATTGCAAAATGAAATACATTGCATTGAAACAGCTCTAGGTCTCTACAATTGTAGGTATAACGTACCTCAATTTTTCTCATAACTAAAAGACCATCGACAACTTTACCTGTAAAGAAATAAGATTATGATTGGCTTAGTTTCCGTGCTTTAGCTTGCTGCGATTGAGGCAATCATTTTTTTCCCTTTTTTACCTGATCGTATGCGCCAGATTATATTTTGTAAGTGGAACCGGCAGTAAAATGAGAAATAAGAAAAGAATGACATAAACATAAAAGGGAAACGTTCAAGTTCTTGCGCTTTCGATTCTGTGAAGTTGACGAATTTTTTATTTTATTTTATTGGCTCATAAACGCTTTCTCTGAACGACTAGTCAATTCCGACGCTAGTGAAACCCTGCCTTAGAAAAAGCAAATATCTAAAATATAAAAATGGTTGACTACCAAACGCCTCTCTTTCCTTAGTCCTTTGAGCGAAAGCCGGGGACAAGAAGATGGCTATGTTAAGGTGACTGAGAGCGTGAAACGAGAGAGTAGTGTTAAAAGTGCTATGTGTGCTTGTAATCGAGAAAATAAGAAACAAGTAAACAAACAAAACATTTTAAAACAGTAAGTGAGAAACTCAGTTTAAAATTTTACCAACAATTGTTATCCCTCCAGTCAACTAGGCTGCCCTAGGGGTAGAACATGATGACCTGTGATGACGACGTGCTATGCCCCAAGTCGGTCACCACCGCTTAATCTGCCTCAAAAATTCCCATGCTTGCCTTTTTCTTGTTAAAGTCCAGTGGACTTTTGGTATTGCTATAGCAATTTCTCCCAATGTTTTATTTCCTTTTATTTTTTACCGCTATACCGTAAAATTCCGAAAATAAGCCCCTCCATGTACAAGCCCCTCCAAATATAAGCCATACACACTCGTAACGCAAAAACCCTCCGTTAAATCGCCCCTCCAAATATAAGCCCCCGGCCCCCCAGGGGTTTGTACTTGGAAATTGCGCTCAAATACAAAGTAAAACAAAGGAAAAACGGTAAATTTCCTTCCAACTATCAGGCTAGCCCAATTGATTTTGAAACGCAAATTTCCCTCAATAGATTAGCCCTTCTGAATATAAGCCCCTCAAAAAGGGCCTTTGAAAAATATATAATAAGAAAGGGGGCTTATTTTCAGAATTTTACGGTATTTGAGACTGAGTCAGTCCAGACTCATTGTCTTTAAGTCCAAGACTCAATTCTCTACTGGCTTAAGAATTATTTGGAATTAGTCCTATGACTTCTTAGTTACTGTATGAAGCCATTCCCAGACATTGCCAGAAGTTCCAAGCTTTTAAATTGTTCCTTAAAATTTAATTTGAATGGCTAGGTCCAATTAGAATTCCCAGTAAATTTTCCAGTTGTTTGTTAAGCCATTCCCAGAGATTCCCAGAAATTCGAAGTTTTTAATTTCTTCCTAATTTGCATGACTTGGAATTACTGGGAATTCCTAGGAATTTCAAGCTTTCTGGGAATTTAGTTCACAAAGATTAAAGGGGCAGGTTCATGGTTAAGCGCATGCTCATTAATTAAAATACTTTTTCCAATTTATTTTTAATTCTGTTGGTTAATAATCCCACTCACATGTATCTCAGCGATCTCAGAGTGTGTTTCAAGCTAGAAGTGTATTTCAGAGTAAAATGAAGTAGGATGGAGGAGTACTAAAATTGCAAAAAAATTAGTGGATTATGCCAACACTACCAACCTTGAATTTATTGTTGACCCAAGGTTTTATTCCATGGTTGATTAATTTACAGCTATTTGCAGATAATTAAGTTGATCAGTGTAAATGACTGCCAGGGGAGTATGCAGATTGGTTCCTTGACAACATTATGACATGATCATATTGCTTGCATAGTCGATACAGCACGTCCCAGCAGAAAAACAGCACTTTGACGAACGAGCATGCGATCTACCATGAACCTGCCCCTTTAATAATGCTCATTGACTTTTTGGAGCAACATCATGGCTAGAGTTCAAATTTAGGAAAACAGCTGCGAAGGAAGGCCTCTGCTGCAAGAGGGCAAATTCATTGCATAGCAAAGCTACTTTGACTTAGTTTGTAGGGCTTACCAAACACTACATGCTTTCCATCCAAAAAATCACACTTTGCACAGGTTACGAAAAACTGAAATCATGGAAAAGAGTTCACATTATTAACTCACAACATCAAGACAAAACTATCAGCACATTAAAAGTAGTGGCAGAGAAAGATAATTTCATTTTCCAATTACCCAAGGAACAAAAAAAAATACATAATAAAATAATTACCAAATAAAAATATATGTTTGAAAAATATTCTACAGGAACAAAAGAATCATTAAGAAAGTGATTTAATTTTTTTTTTTCAGTGCACTGACCTGGCAGCCATTAGAATTTGGACCACTGTTAGCCTGAAAAAGATAAGCACTGTGTAAGCATTTGCATTGACACCAAAGACAAATTAACATTAAAAAAAAGTTTTTTTTTCATTATTAATAAATACATGCGAAAAATATGGACCTCTGATATAGTATCAGGTGGTCCAATTCTCACAATTGATAGCTCTTAAAATTTAATTCACAAAAAATGTTACGATTGATTAAAAAAGTCTCATTAATGACCACCTCTTTTTGCAAGTGACCACGACCACTTTCTGGGGGCAATAGTTTTGTTATTCTTCTTTGTTTTTATAAACCTCTTGTAAACTATGGCCTGACACTGACAATGATCTTATAACTATGTTTGCTGTATCTCGCACTACTCAGACTGTATTACAAAATGCTTTTTAGTGATGGCATGGAACTACACCTGTGCACATACCGTAAAATTCCGAGAATAAGCCCTAGGCTTATATTTTTCTAAGGCCCTTTCTGCGGGGCTTATTTTTGGAAGGGCTCATATTCAGAGGGGCTTATCTATGGAGAGAAATTTGCATTTCTAAATTGATTGAGCTAGCCTTATAGTTGGAAGGAAATTTATTTATTTATTTATTTTTTACCGTTTTGGCTTGGTTTTACTTTATATTTGAGGGCAATTTCCGAGTACAAAAAGGGGGGGAGGCTTATATTTGGAGGGGTGATTTAAGGGAGGGTTTTTGCATTACGAGTTTGGGGGGCTTATACATGGAGGGGCTTACTTTCAGAATTTTACGGTATTACATGTACAGCTGTATATCCACGGCTAGAAATTAAAAAAATCCTCAGGTCGCCTTTTGGGACCAACTGGAGAAATATAGTCACCAGTTTGTATTATGTAAATGACACAGCTCAAAGTATGGCATGATCCATCAGATTTGATTGTTTGAAAATATAAATTTGGAGGTAAACTGGCTTTGTTTATGCAATTTTGCACACTTTTTTATGACGAATTAAGCAAAGAAGGATAAGATAAAATGTTTGTTTTGACTTTCCTCTTTTAATTTAAATCTAAATCATAGAGAAACCTGGTCGCCAAAGTGGCAACTAAACCAGGAGTTTTAGTCGCCAAGGAGAAAATGTTAATTGCATTGGCAACCGTATCAGTTGCAATTTCGAGCCCTGATTATTATCGTAACTTAGACATTAAATGCAGTGAATTCTCTTCCTAATGGCAACTGATGGCAGCTGATATAAGACCCACACTGGTTTGCCTCTCATAAGTGACCACTTTATTGTGCATTGTTTGGTGGTTGATTATGGAAAATATGACTATAATTATTTATAATTAAAGGTTGTTACATAAATCAGCATAGGTTGGAAACATCATGCATATTGAGCCACCAAAGCTCTTGAGCCAAAAGACTAGCCATTAATCTCCTCTACAAACATAATTATTATTTACTTGCTCCATAAAAGACCCTTTCAACAGCAATTATGTAACTATACCTTGACCTTTCACTTAATCCCCAACTTCTTAGATTTTACCACACCCATCAAAAGGCCTAGCCTGCTGTTATTCTATCTGTTTCTTACCATAGACAGAACACCTGGAACATCATGTTTTAGTTTAAAGTTTTCATCAGGAAAGGCCACATCATTATATATGCTGGAAACACCTGTGCCATCACCCTAAGACAAAAATATTATTAATCAGCAGTATAAATCTAAGTGGTATCCGTACTTAATGCCCCGTATAAAACTAATGTAATGATATTCATAGAGTACTTCAGGGACGGACCATTAGAAAAGTTATGGGGGGGGGGGAGGAGAATTTTCGAGCCGCAGGAATTTTTTTCGTTAACAAACTTCTTGTATGAATTTTTTTTAGGCCAAAACATGAATTTTTTTTAGGATTAATTGGCGTGCATGAATTTTTTTTCATTTAATTTTCCCTTGCGTGAATATTTTTTTTTTTTACTTCCCCCGCCCCCCATAACTTTTCTAATGGTCCGTCCAGTGTAGTTATTTGGCTTAAACAAGGCACTATCTATAAAATGCAGGGCTGTCACTAAAGGCACGGAACAGCAGATTTTCCCCAGCTTCTATGAGCATTACACCTGGCTACTTTCGTAGAAAAGGAAAAAAAAAGGATAAAAAGAACTTTCCCCTTATACAAAATTGCATATACCCAGCAACTAGAAATCTTTGTGACAGCCATCAAGTGAAAAGGTTTTTTGTAAAGTATCTTTTGGCAGGGCTAGCGTTTCTGACAGGTCGCAGAAGACAAAGTCAAATTTCGCCGGATTTTTAGGGACAAATTCGTGGAAAAATTGGTCGATTTTGGGGTAATTTTGTCGAAGTTTTCGGGGCAAATTTCATCCAAAAGCAATCGGTAAAAGACGGCCGATTTTGTGGTTATTTCAAGGCAAATTTCGCTGGAAATCAATATCGGCTTTGCGCTGATCAGACCACCGTTTTTTCTAACAGAGGTTATCATTTACTCTTTAAGCTCCAGAAATGAACCAATGGCAAAGCCTTTAACATCATGGCTAGTGCCCAGTTTTTCGCGACACAATCTACACCTGGTAGATTCGGGATACGGTTTGCACGTTTCAGTGACGAAGTTCTGAGATAAATTTGAAAGTTTACGGCAAGTAAATAGCCCCAATAGCTGAAGTAAGTTTCAAAATTAATATGTTGTACAGACAAGTATTTGATAAGATTTCTACCGAATTTCACAGTATTTGTCATGTTTTTGTGAATTTCGCGGATTTACCTGAATTTCGCGGCTATGCGATGGTGTGGAATATCAAAATCCCTGTTTTGGGAACTAAAATTTGGTTAAATTAATTAACTTTTAGTACTATGAAGTTTACAGTTAAAACTAACCTTTACGAAATCTCCACCTTGAATCATGAAATCCTTAATTACTCTAAACAAAGACAAAGTAAAATATTGAAATAAATATCTGTTAATATCTTATTACCGGCGCGCCACTCCCTTCAAGGCTGTTCTGGCACAATTTACAACATAACCACTTTAGGACTTTTTCCACGCTGCTTATATAATAAGGTCCTATAGAATTTGTTGCATGACTGTACAGTTGTGAGACAGGACAGGCAGGTTATTAAACAATATTATTGGATGAGGTTGAGCATGATATCATGAATTATCAAAACCGAGGTCTGTGTTATCTGTGGAAGCCGAAGGCTGAGGCAGATAATACAGACACGAGGTTTTGATAATTCATGATATCATGCGAAAACTGAATTCAAAAATTGTTTATAACTATGCATTAATTTTTTTAAACAATAGGCAAAAGAAGACATTCATCTTAAGTGTTCAGCCATTCTGTTTCTGAGGAGAACACTCCAAGGGGCTTGGTAACCAGGCAGACGTTGAACTTGACATGATAAATGCAATATCTGCAGCAGATATTGCATTTATCATGTCAAGTTCACAAGCTATTGTGAATTGATTGAATGCTCTCGACAAATCAGATTTTTCGTAGTGAGTCTGATGTATAATAATGACAGTTATATCTGAGAGCACCAGAAAGTCTAACCTTTTGAAAATGTTATTATTTACAAAGGCCGCCCTTTCTCTTCAGTTATTTAATAAAGAACCTGAGTGTTGGTTCAGCTGGGGTTTGAACCAGCAGCCTCTTGCACAACACACAGGAACTTATCCAATAGAGCTAACCAGGCAGCTGGAAGTCATGTCTTTGTCAATATTTCCAATTTCCCTTGTTGCTGTTGCCCTTTCATTACCCATCTTAATGTACACTGAACATTTGACTTTGGAGTCACTATTTTCATCTGCCTTATACTGATCATGCCCTGAGTGTGTACAATATTATATACTAATAAAAGATGGATGCCTATGGCACTTTAAACCACTACATACCTATGAAAGGTTGCTCCTTTATATCCTTGGGGTACTCCACCTTTTCTAAAGAAATTTCAGTAAAATAAATACAGTGTGCATCTAGATGTACATGCATGAATGCAAATTTATAATAAATAAAAATTAGATTCAAGTAAAATACACATTATGCAGTTGTTTTCACAGGCCTCAGAGAACCTAATCTGTTTTTCTGTGCATTCATCTTATGAATGGAGTTCCAGGGGTAACGCAAGAGAGCCACACGTCGACTAAAACAATGAATTCATACTAGCATACAAAAATACATCAAAGATAAATCTTCTTTATTTATCTAGAGTGCAGTTTTTTTTATCAAAAGATAAAAATATCACAAAATTTATTGTTTGCGGATCTCAGTATTATATTATGTCATACAACGTCTTGAAACGATTGTTTGCACATGAAACCTACTCACTCGGTCACAGAAAGCAAATTATACATTCCACCCTTGTGAGGTGAACTTGGGATGCCTGTGCACCGTTTTGATGCAAACATGACAAAGTACGAGTTTTGTTCTCAATTGTATTACAGTGCGACTACTATAACCGGGGCCACCTAGACAAATTTGACCAATCGGATTAAGGACAATAACAATACATTCTGAGAAAGTTACCTAATTATAGGAAATAAACACTTTCAAAGAAAGAAAATTAACATGACGTTTAAAAAGGAACAAAAGTTGTTTCAACAACAGGAACAAATTTATTTAAACTTGACCAAAATCCAGGAAGCAGATTTTGAGGGATATTCTTCTTACTGCGACCATCATCCATGAAGATGAAATAATTGTTACAGTAATCAATTTGTGAAAGATTGATCTGAAATAAAGTGCATGAAACTAAAGCTATTCAGTTTCTTCAGTTTCTAGGTGTCAAGAATGTCTGGAGCATGTCGAGAATTTGGGGCCAAAATGATAGAAACTAAAACTTAATGGTAGAGAAATTAATGTAAACAAAAATCAGCACAACTTAAATTTGTGTTAATTTCATGAAGCGTTAATTTCCTATAATTGGGTAGTTGTAAATCCTAATTACCATGAAAAGAAAATTTCATTAAATTTTCATGTTTTCATTTTAATAATAGACAACATGGATCCAAATCAACCAATCACAACTGATACATTAATTAATACAGACGTGACGTTTTGAACCCACTGAAGAAAGCCCTTGTTTCTTGAGAGGTCCATTAAAGTGAGTGATGGAGACGACAAAAGTAAAAACTTTATAATTTGGACTTTGCATGTTATTGCAAAACGTGGCTGCCAATGGTATATGATGAAAATGCCTGTACATGTAGATGACAAAGTAATAGCTTGTGTCAAACAAATATGTCCCTTAGATGTTATAGTGTATATGTCAATTTTCAATCACAAAAACATTGTCTGGTGAAACATTTTGCTTTCCTGAAAAATTTTTGCTATCAATATCTAAATTATCTGCTTCGAGTAACCTATTATTTCTTTTTTTTACGAGCTAATGTACTTATTGGTTCACAACATTTACTTTCTTGGTCCAAAGTATTGTTAATTTCCTGTAATCTGATTGGTCAACTTTGTCTAAGTGAACCCAGTTACAGTAGTTGGACTGTAAAGTAATACACAGTATTTTTAGTGAGCACAAGGAAACACAACATTGACTCAGACTGCAAAATTGTTTGACACTCCCACTACAATATTTTATTTCTGTACCCTTCAGGGCAGAAACCGAGCCAACATTTTATCAATTATTTCAAAGTTGATTAAAAAAAAAACAAAACAAAACAATTTTAAAGTCATGACCACAACATTGTGAATTACTCTCACCTGTATTCACCAGTGCACAGTTGCCTAGAGAAATCATAACAAAACAATGAATACTTACAATGGATTAAACTTCTTTATACAAATGGTTATTACAAATGGATATTTCAATAGACGCCACTTTCCTTTGAATCGTTAATTACCCCCATTTATATTCACAGCTAACAAGCTTTTGTACAATATTTAAGACCCTTCAGATTCCATATCCCTCAATAATATATTAATGAGATCAAAAAGCCAGAAAAATACTTCAAGCAACTTGTATACAGACCCGTCTGCAGAGTATGGCAGAACTTGACAAGATCTCGCACATGCAAGGCCGTTTTTAGGCCCTTATTGCTTACATATTTTTTAAAAAAACTCACGCATGCACCTGCCATACTCTGCAGACTGGTATACAGAGTACCATAACAAAAGTAAATCACCCACCATTTGCTCTTATTGGTTAATCAGTTTAATACATTTTGTTAAATGTATAATTTGTACTTCAATTATTCTTTATAACCTTTAAATGACTATACCAGCCAGCAAGATTGAAGAAGAATACTCCACAAACACTTCAAAATAATGCCACTGATTTGCTTGTACAGTGTATCTATGTTGTAGTTCATTTTTTTATCTCAGGTAATTTTTGTTTTTCTTTCGAAAAAGGCAAATAATTATCTGAGATAAAATAAATTATAATTACCTGAGATTTGATAATTATCTGAGATAAAATTTAAAAAAAAAATTAACTACAACATCTACTTTTATGTTCAGTTAAAAGTTGTCTCAAGGACAGTTATTATTGTTTTGCTAAAATTCATGAGAGCATAAAAAATGGCAACTCCATTTGTTCCTGAAAAGCCTAATCATTACGGAACAGTGCCTGTAGATCCGTGTCGCCCGCAAAATCGCGGGTCCCATGACTATTTGCGCGCTCACAAAGGAAGCCGGCGCATGTCACGTCCTTTGATTCAAGACTCAAGTGTCAGAGTATTGTTTCCACGATGAAAAGGTAATTTAACTTAAGAAAATCTATAGATCGAAGCTTTCGTGCTACTCTCTGTTTTATAAGGAAATGCAAATGCTCAACTTGATAAATATTTCGACTTCATAAGATATTTTAACGATTTAGGCCAGCAGAATGTATACAATTCCAGTAAAACAATTCAGGAAGCCGAACGGTTTGAAACTACGCTAGACGTTGTTTTTATCAGAACGCAAATCACCAACCCAATCACTTACTTTCCATCGAACTGAAATATCCTGACTTTTTTTACCACTTTTCGACTTGATTCGTTTCATTTTATATTATTTTGTGCAAGCTGAGCTCTTTCATGCGAATTTACGCTTTCAATTTAAGGAAAAAACTGCGAGGAAACGTTGTGTTTACAACCACGGCAATTTGTATCTATTTCGCTTCACTTACGCTTATATGCAAATTACTGTTCATCCGCCAGATTTTGCTGGAGACAAAAATATCGATTTTGAATTCCCAAATGCTTGCCTTTTGGGGTACCCTTTTTATTTTGGCTATCAAGATTTTAAAAGCTAAGCTTCAGACTTTTCATTCCAACGTTTTAATGCGGGAAAGTTAGGAGAAATGCTGCGACTGATTTAAGTCACGCAACACGCTTTAAGACCTCATAACTTGATCTTTCTGTTATCTTTTGTTCTTCTATTGTCTCCAAAACAATAACAATGTTTCACCAATTTCCACCTACAGATAATAGGACACATTTGATTGACAGAAAAATTTGCATTTACTAGCGACGCGTTTCTACAGGCGCGATTCCGTAATGTGGTAACCCTTATTTCTTTTTAAGGGAATGGTTCTGTCAGATATGTTTACTATCCACCGGATCAATGCCACTGAAAGCTCAAGGCAGTATACCTCAACTTTATGCAAATACAGTGTGTTTTAATAGCAGGAAGTTTGTACAAGTTTTTTCTTACTGTAATATACTGCAATGGGTCCCTCAATATTTATTTTGTGCATCAAACACGACCAATTTGTCCACATGAATTGAATTTTACTGGTGATAAAAACTAACACACGTATGTAACTTGCTCACCTCATATTTTCAGCTGTTTTTGGCACAACATCTGCAAAAAGCTCCATCTTCATCCTGCCTACTTCCTAAACGTACAGGGTTAAAAAACGTAAAGTCGGAACAATCAACTATGCTTAAATTAATTCTGCCGACCTCTTTTAGTTCATGAGCTTGAGCTAAGTTAAGTAGGCCACTAAATCTTTAACCCTAAATTCAAGTCAACCTGTCATTAATTGCAATGAAATAGCGTAGCTAGGGATGAGGAAAAAATTAACATGAATTGGAGTATTTAATTACCTGTCCACCAATGGTTATGTCGAAAAACACAACAGGATTTGAAGAATTTGTAGCACCTGTGTTCGCCATTTTGACCGCCATTTTGAAACGACCAGTTAGAACCTAGTCCTTCGCGGTACCTATACCGAAATTTATCTTATCGTGTTGGGTAGAGTGGGGAAAACTAATAGGCAAGTTTTTCTGACTAGTACTCTTTTATTATTTGGTGATGTCTGAAAAAACTCTTCTAATTGAAAAAATGTCATTTTATCACCGCGATATTCAACACAACGAGGAAGCACGGACGCACTAGAGTTCAAAATAAAAACAAACTAAATTATTTGGGGGAGGGGTAGAGGGGAGATCAAGTAAAGCACGTGCACGTTGTTCATTTTAACCAGGGCTCAACAGATTGCATATGTCAAGCAGTCGTCGAGTAGTGACTAGAACGCTGGCGTTTTTTTAGCGGCATTATTGTAGGTAAGTAGATTGATAATAGTTTGAAAATCGAGTCTCTTAACAAAATAAAATCCAAGTCGTTTAAATTAGCTTAGCAACAGCCAGCTTAGTGGATAACAGATCGGAATTATTGTGTACACATTTGACCGCGCAGCAATACCGGCACATGCTTAATACGTCGAGAAAGTCCCCTTTGGCTTTCTCTCGTCAAAAAATTAGGCTTCTCCGTCAAACGAACGTGTTTGGTGTTTTTATGTTTCAAATTCGCTGAGGGGTGAAGCCGAAGAAGATAGCAAATTAATTAAACCTCCATGGGGATTGTGTTCCCTCTTAACCTAGTAGTTTTGATTTCCCGGCGTAGCTAATCGAACGAAACCGAACCAAAAACCAATCGAACCCAATCGAACCCAATCGTTCGATTGGAGTTCGATTGGTTCGGCAATCGGACATAATCGAACTGGAACTTTTTTGTGAGTTCGATTACCGAATGTTCGATTAGCTACGCCGGGGATTTCGATTTTACCTTTGGCGCGAAATGAAAGAGTAGATAACAAATTGAGGCCTTGAAATATTCTAGTTTTCCTAACCCATGCGGGTGGAGCTGGTGTGGGCAAGGTTGAAAACTATTGCTGCAGTAATTCTATTTTTTTTTAATTTATCAAGTTATAATACTTAAGCTTATAAACGGTTGACTACTTTATGTAGGCATAATTTTTAACTCAACAGGGATTAGGCAAAACAATCTGCATTATGCTGGAATATTAAGTTCTTTGACTGATCCTTACATTTCATCAAAACTTTGCCAGAATCCAGGCCAAAAGGTTTAACATTATATGAGACACAAGCCACATATAATTCTAAAAAGACTAATCAATGCCAGATTGAAAATTGGCAAAAAAGTGCATAGCCGCTATCAGTTTCAGGTCCATGACATTTTCACCTATTTCCCTGGATGAGTCACCTCAACAATTGAGTATTAAAAAGGAAAGCCATGCAGTTAGAACATGCATGCAGATCTGTGCTTATTATGATGCCGAGCATAAAAGTGATCCCCCATTTCTAATTGGCTCAAATCCCATGGCTAGTTCTTCAAAACCAGGTAGCATTGATTAAATTTGGAAGATGTGATATTTGGAAAATGACATCAATAGTACAGCATAAATAACTGAAAAAGGGACAGACAACAACCCAGAAGTCCTGGGGATGTGGTTGTGTTGTTTTAATACAGCTGGACAAAATGGAGGAACTTTTTACATGTTTTACGAAGAAGTAATAGGCATCAGAGGATGTTATCCAGCTCGGCCTTTGGTCTCTGAAGATAACATCCCCCCGCCTTAAGCCTAACCCTAACCAAAACAACCCCCGTGCTGAGCTGTTACGGATAAGGCTATTTTGGATATTTACTGGAAGTCAGACAATCTCACTTTACCTTGCCTAGCCCAGTTTTTTAAACAGTCCATGTTCAGTGTGTATTATACTGACCAGACAAAATAATAATAATAAGAACAATTTTATTACCATGTTGTTTTTTCTTCACAGCTGTAGAACAAAAAAATTATAACAAAAAAAACAAGCAAACAAACACATAAACAAAACGAAATAACAAAAAAGAGAGAGAGAGATGAATCAAATACAGAATGGATGGTTCTCAGAGATTAATAACCAGTGGCCAGGACAAGCTCTCTCCCTTGAGGTGGAAGAAATTCTTTACACAGGAAGATCAAAACACCAAGATATTCTAGTGTTTAAAAGGTAAGTAAACACATTTTGATCAAAAGAAGCAATTATCACGATTTTGATGTACCTTATATATCACGTAAAGCAGAACCCCGATTGGCAGGCACCCACTTTGCGTAATCTAACACCCTTAAATAAAACATTGTCGTTTGTCTGACGATGACTGAATACCTAACCTATAATGATGAAAACCTATGGAGGCATTTCAACCTTAGATAGAAGGGAGGTTAAAATGAAGTGCTATGTTGCAAAGGGACCCTGATGAGTGTCCAATCAGTGCCTATATAGTACTGAAATGACATTGAGGAACAAGTGCAGAAATTCCATAATGATGACCTGTCAATACCCACATCTGGATATAGTGCATCTGACTGGATAAGGCAAGTTTTCAACCTATCAGAAGCACTACCCTGATCTGCATAGTGACACATCTTCTGTATGGAATTTCTGTGCTCCTCCCTCAGACAAGGGCATATATAGCCAGCCTATAGACCTGTAGGCCCAGGCCTACAAATTTTTGGTTTGATCGCTCTACCATTTGTAATAGATTATGCGTTGTTGGGGAAAGCCGAAATGCTTAAGAGATCAAAGTGTTGGTGAGGTCAGTGTGTACTAGTCAAGCGTGCAATTTTCAGGATGAAAATCAGCCAGGCCTACAACTAGTCGAAAAGCTGGCTACACCCCTGTCAGATATCATTTGGCCACAGGTATTAAAGTGGGTTTTTTCTCAGCTCAACTATTGGAGGTGGTGCCTCATTGTAGCAGATTCTCTTTGTGGTTTGCCTATCATTGGTCAGAAAATGACAAATCAGCGTACATGTAATTACCTCTCAAAATAATGTCTTTCAGCAAACACCATGGGAAAGTTCTTGTTCTGGATGGAGTTATACAGTGTACTGATAGAGATGAATTTTCTTATCAAGAAATGATCACTTTTCTTCCACTTAATTCTCATCCTTGTCCCAAGAAGGTAAAAACTGAGCATACAGAAGTTCAATGTACATGTATTATTTTGACTTTATTCACTTAAATATTATCAATGCAGCTGTCATTCCTCGGTCCTTGCCAGTTAGTGCGACTTCATTAAAATATTTATGGAGAATTTCTGATCCTTTTCCCTGTTTGAAAGTACTTTGATTTGATTTTTTAATGAAATTATTGTGGTAGGCCTATTTGGAGTTTTTAAATCTCTCTTAAAAAAAGCAAGTACTTTGATTTGAAATAAATATTATGATTTCATTACTTTTATCATCATCTGTTGACCAGAGTCCACTAAATGTGCTAACAATGAAATCACTGAAAAAGAAAATGTTGTGTTGCCAATTACCCATAAATTTATTGTTGCTTGTCACACGGAAATTACTATTGTTTGTTTTATTGTATATGCCATTTGTCATCTTCAGGTTCTTGTTGTTGGTGGTGGTGATGGAGGAGTCACAAGAGAGGTGTCCAAGCATCCAGCAGTTGAATCCATTGTGCAGTGTGAAATAGATGAGGTTAGTTATCCCTAAAAGTTACCATGTTGAATAACAAAAAATGCATGGGCACTTACCAGATGTGGGGTGTGAGTGGTAAGTAGCCTGTGTACAGACGTTCCCCCTCCCTCAGAAAAAAGAAGAGACCAGACGTCTGTGAATCGCCATCGCACCTCAAATGTTCTTGATGTATTGGTCCAGATTTTAATGCCTGATCTTCTCTATTGCCCTGTTTGAAGGGACAAGAATCTTTTTGCCACTGTTTGTCACTCTTTGGGCCCAGTTGTATAAAAAATGGATACAGATGACAAACTGCTGGCATATTACCCTGTAAAATATACGAGCATCCCACCTAGCAGGGGGCAGGGGGGGAGGGCAGTAGCAGTACTTTAAGGAGTATACAAGTGATCATGCATGTTATCCTTTTTCTGCAGGCTACATTGTAATCTTCTAATAAAATCAACTATATATTACATTGTTTTGAATGTTCATTGACCCTGCTAATTATTATTCTTTTTAAATGAGAAGTAAGTTCATTTATACATGTGTATGCATGCATGTCTTTCAGTAAATTATGATTTGCAATATTGCATGTTTTGTTTATTCCTGGTGAGTTATTGTTTTACAATTTTGTCTTAACTTTGCTTCTCTTTGTATTCCCATCAACCACATTTATTTAACCTCAAAGCTACTTTATCCTCTTGGCCTTCCGTGCCACCCCACACTCCACCGTCCCACTCAGCTTGATCCAAGATGTTGAACACATCTGCTGGCCATTTCAGAGTCACTGTCTTACTGTCTTTTTTTTTATCTGACAGGAAGTGATTAACATATGTAAGAAGCATTTACCTAATATGGCAAAGGGATACAGTTCACCTAAACTGACTCAGTATATTGGGGATGGCTTTGATTACATGCAGCAACATGAAAATGAATTTGACGTTGTCATTACAGACTCATCAGATCCTGTTGGTATGTATCATCATTATCATCATCATCATCATCATCATTACCATCATCGCCTTCCCTTTTTAGGGTCCATCCCTTCTAAGGTGCTTCTGATGTGGTGTGTATAGGACCCTACCAAGTAGTTACAAGGAGTCTGGTTTGTGCACCTGATCTCTTACTGCATCCATTTCACACCCATTCAATTTGCCACTAACTTGTCCGTGTCGGCAAATTACCCCTGCAATCAGAGGTTTCTCTCTGAATCACAAAATCACACCTTAGGTGGGAAAATTGACACCTCAATATCAATTTTCTGAAAGCTCAGCTCTCACCCGATAGACCTGTGTAGTTTTTATTTTGAAAAATTCCTTTTTTTGTTCGAGAAATAAATTTTTCAAATGTAAGAGTCTATAGCAGATCTAATACCTTAACATTTATAAAGTTGTTTGCATCGCTAATTAATTCTTACAGTCGGCTTGTTAACTTCCTCAAGACGTAAGAGGTGTTATGAAACTTCGACGACGACGGCAACGGAAGCTTAAAAAAAAGTAATGGGTTAAATATTGAACAACGCAACAACTCTGCACGTGCATCACGCTTTTTTGTACATTTCTTTGCAGTCCGCGAACAACTACGATGCAGTGAAATGACCAGATTTTAAGTTTACTTGAGAACGGGAACTGGAATTCCGCCATCACTGCCTGAACTCGGGCGCGGTCCCCTTGCTTCAATTCCAACATGAATTCCCTTCATTTAAGTATAACTGTGACAGGACAACTTGGGGTAATCGCGAAATAGTTTGAAAGGATGCATAGTCTATTTTACAGCGACTTTTTCGTGGACATCGATCGCCGTTGTCGGATCATAAGTCCCCTATAATGCCAACTATGCGAATGACAGCAACGCAAAAGACTCTGCACATGAATGAATATGAATACCTTCACTGTATTTTAAAATTCTTCTCTTTTTCTTTTGTGTTAGGTCCAGCAGAATCTCTTTTTAAAGAATCATATTATGAACTTGTGAAAAGGGCCCTAAAACCAGATGGTCTTCTCTGTTCGCAAGGTAGTCACGCAACTTTTTCTCTAGATGCACTTTGTGGTAGTATTTAAACTGCACAAGGGGATTTAATTCTCTATAGCCCATCTCTTATCGCTTTTTCCTCCTGTAGACTAGTTATCTTGGTAAAAAAAACACTTGCTTGCAAAAGTACTTTGACTAGATCATCATTTCAAAATAAAAGGTGCGTTAATTTGTTCAGTTACTCTTGATTAGTAGACCCCCCTACAGCACTAGCAAGATCGACCGGACATTTTGTTTATGCTTCTTATGAACCTTCAGATTTAAGCATATGGTTGTTCGATCAAGATTGGACATTATTGACCTTCTTGATGATAAAACGGGTTGGGGGTAGTGGGGTGGGGGAAGGGGCGGATTCGACAAGACCAAGACTGTCATCCATGAAGTAGCGTGTGTGGTTTAAACAAATTAATTATTACTCTAATAGTCTCGTGGTTATACTTTGAAGTGTGATAATGTAGATAAAAGACATTTGTCCGGCCACTAACTGGTTTTCCGGGCAAAATAGGTTTGACCGGGCAACTTGCCCAGCACCAGCCGGGAAATTATTTCAAAGCCTGACTAAGGTTTTTTAAAATGTCATGATGATTGATTTGCCGTTCTTGTTTATTAGTGTGTTTCATATTTAATTTACCAGGAGAATGCATATGGCTTCATATACCGCTTATAAAGTCTGTGTTAGAATTCAGCAGAAGATTATTTCCTGTGGTTAGCTATGGCTACACTACAATACCCACCTACCCCAGTGGACAAATAGGATTTATACTCTGCAGCAAGAATGAGGTAGGAGGCATTTAGAATGGATTTTTAGGCGACGCTCACACGGTATCGGATGAAATTTCTACCAGGTGAAAAATTTAACCGGACATTTGTTCACAAGGAACGTTCGCCCAGTTCACACACAACTTTGACCGGCTAGGAATCTAAATTTCCGTACGCGGTCAAGGTTGTTCCATCTAAACGGAATACCTAAACGTTCGAAGGTTCGTCCGTTTCCGTGTGAACGTAGACAAGTTCAGCATAAAACCAGAGTATAGAAGAAATGGTTATTCATATTCGAGCCTTTTTCAAAGACACAGGTATGAAAAAATGTTTTGTACGCTGGTTGTTTGACAAAGTTGAATTAATTATCATGTGACGAGTTTGTGACCAATGGAGTTAAATAATATTAATGGCGAAAAGGTATTTCAACTTAAGACAGTTTCCAAATCATGTTTTCAATAACCTATTTCCGGGTTGCCCCTGCAGCGTGTAGCCTCTCTTTTATAAAACTATTTAGTGTATACTAAAACAGTGGATAGTGTTTTTCGCGCGTTCTGATTGGCTACTCAATCAGTGACTATCCTGCACTATTCGCTGATTCACCTCCAGTTCCTCTGAGCGAGCGACGCCAAACTCGCGTAAGATGCGAGCAAAATGCCTTCCCGGTTTGCTGCCGTAACAAACTAAGACATTTCACAACTAATCAATCAAGCTATTCCCAAAATACATGAAGAAGGTGACGAAGTTCGGAAGTTTTAACAGGTAAAGCTTTGTCTTTTTGACTTGAATTTATCGATAAAACCGGTGAAAAAGTTTTTTGTTTACAAACGCAAATTAAGCTTAAGTCTTGAGTTACTTTATTTAGTTGACTTGTTCATAAATAAGCTTAAAACTAAAATTAATAATCTTTTTTACAGAACGAATATAAATACAAAAAGAATTCACAACTCCTTTTGAAGAAACTTCCCCGTAAGAGCTAAACAAACGCCTTCAAAAGTTTTATTTGTCGCCAAGAAAAAACGACGACCGCGGCCGTTCGGTCGCCAAAATTGTAATCGTTGGCAACAGTAAATGAGTTAAAATCATCATTTTTGTGCTCAATTATCTCACTGTTTTAGTATATACTAAAACAATTATTCACCTTAGTGTGGCTAGTTGCTAGTGGTAGAATTTACCGGGCCGTTAACGCTGCTTCGGTAAATCACCACCGTTAGCCACCTCCACTTCGGTGGATAATTGTTATTTATCTTTTTTTTCTCTCCCTCTATTTTACCGTATATCCTTATGCCGGCTGTGCTTTTATTTTTAGAACACAAGATTTGATAATCCAGTTACTCTATTTACGGATGTCGAACTGGAAAAAATGGAGCTTAGATATTATAATGCGGAAGTTCACAAGACAGCATTTACCTTACCTCAGTTTGCAAAGAAGGTAATTTCCATTTCTCGTGTCGTGGTAGAATAGGAGCTACAACCAGTTGCAAAAGTACTTGAGACACTGTACCGTATTTTGGCATAAATGGCCTGTCCATGATCTTGTGCTTGTGATCCCCCCTCCACCCCTTATCAAAGTTGCTAGCAATACAAGACCATACTCAAAACTTGGAGGAACAACTTTAAATGGGAGGGAGGAGGGAGGAGGGAGGTCAGTATTATATTTTACAGACCTGTGACCAGGAGCGATTTGAAGCAAGAAAGGTCGTTTTTCCGTGGGAGTGTCTCATCATTTTTGCAACTGGTTGTCTGAGTCCTTCATACCCTTATAGCCGTGGTGCACGATTATTAAACGGGGTAAAACGTGGTGCACTCTTAGCACCTAAGGAGGTGGTTATAAAAAACAGTATTTCATTTTTGTCGGTTAGCCTGTTTAAAAATGGCGAGACAAAAACGGCAGTTGTTGGCCCTTTTGTTTATGTGGTAATATGCAAGAAACTGGGCTTTTAAAGGAAGCACGTGGCAAAAGATGCCACACCATCTTAAGTAAGCTGCAACGAAAGGGGTTTTTGGTCCTAAAACGCTACAGAGATGCGAAAAATAATATATTTTCTTCGAACTCGGTTAAAGGATGTTTATTTATGGAAGGAAAGTGACGTAACATGCCCCGCTAGATCAAAGAGATAGCTTTTTGTTGTTGTTTCCGATAAGTACGTGGACGTGGTTCCTCTTTTATCGCCTGCCATTCACAGGAAAGAAAAGTTACGCGAAAAAGCAGCTGTTGTCGACTTTACTTTACTTAACACAAGTTTGGATTTGTGTTTACTCTTTGGTCGTCTTACAACTTTGTTTCGATTTTGAAGCCCGAGTGTGGTTATAGGAATATAGGCATCAGATAATGAAAATTCACGCGCGTATTTCAGTAACATAGTCGCGAGAGCGCACAGCAATGTCAGGAATTTACGTGCTTCAACGGTCTACACGGTCTACACGGTCTACCATCATATGAGATAAATATAATAATATATTCTATTTCTTACTGTTGCAGAATGGTAGACCGTGGATGATGGTAGACCGTCAGAAAATAGAAATTAACATAGCACACAACTTTTTCTGCTCTCTAGCTCTAACGGACTTAAATAACCATCTTATTTTCACCCTAGTAGATGAAAAAAACTGAACGGTTTTACTTTAACAGCGATGTTGAAAAATAAGTCACGCGGTATACCGATTACATAGCGCCATTGCATATCAAATGTGATTGCGTTACAGATACAGGGGTGAAAATGAAGGTTTGGCAGCTTTATTCGCAACTATAGTATCTCTAAATAACAAGAAAAGGAAAATTATGCTGTTATTATGCATTCGCGCTTCTCAGAGTTTAATTACAACGCCGAAACTTTAAGCTATGTCACGGTAGATAATGGCGCATGCGTTACAACAAAACTGAGGCAAAATTTACGAGTCACTACATTCTTAACCGCTTTTTTGGGCAGTTTGCTATCAATGACAATGATGTATCGGCTGGGAAAAGCAACACAAAGTTTCATTCTATTCATTTATGTCGCTATAGTCTTCGTTTTGGGAATTTAAGACGTGGAAATCGCTTGTTGAAGTAAACCTTGAATGAGACAACCAGTTGCAAAAGTACTTGAGACACTGTACAGTATTTTGGCATAAATGGCCTGTCCATGATCTTGTGCTTGTGATCCCCCCTCCACCCCTTATCAAAGTTGCTAGCAATACAAGACCATACTCAAAACTTGGAGGAACAACTTTAAATGGGAGGGAGGAGGGAGGAGGGAGGTCAGTATTATATTTTACAGACCTGTGACCAGGAGCGATTTGAAGCAAGAAAGGTCGTTTTTCCGTGGGAGTGTCTCATCATTTTTGCAACTGGTTGTAGCGTGCTTCCTTTAAAAACAAATAGAACTAGATTGGCAAAACAACAACTTTGCATGTGCACCTCACTTTTGTACATTTCTTTGCTGTCGTTGCACTTCCCAATTTCACATTTCATGTAGAACGCTAACGCATTATAGGGATTTTCTTTTCTGTTGCTAAACTCAATTAACTCCAGAAAAATTTGCTAAATAAAATTTGACAAATTCAACGAGATGGAAGCACCAGAGCGATGAAGCAACCTTTTGTTGTTTGTTTGTTTTTGCCATCAAATTAATTTGTTTGTCTATTTGTTGTTGTAGGCGCTTTCGAGGTGACGTCGATGGTTGAAGGCAGCACAAAAAATGGCCAATGCATAGTCATTCCAAATCGGCTTCAACGGATCACGTCTTTTAACAGAACGTAACTCTCGTGTGGATGCCGATGCGACTCCGTTAAATGCTCGATGACAATGGCTTGTCGCTTCCATCAAGTTTTTACTCAGTGAAATGGGAGTAGAACAAATGTTCGTTCAGATATTGTAATACATGTATAGACTTATAAAATACATTTGAAAGAAACCAGTACTATCACGCACTGTCTGACTTGTGTGCAGTCCTATAACCTAGGGATTTTAAAAAAAACGACAACGACAACCGTGGCGAAAACGCCTATATCTTCACGCTTTTTCAAAACTCATCGATGTTATTCCATATCATTCAATTTGTCAAATCAGTGTTGGTGAGTTTTTTTGGAGATGAATTTTAAGTGACTAAATCTAGAGTGAAGCTAAATTTCGTCGGTCGTGGGTAAATAGGGACCTTAAGCATCGACGACGAAATGGGACGACGACGCCGACCGGAAGTGAAATTTTCCCGCGCGAACCTTCTAGGCATGCGTAAGGTTGTCAAAACGTCGTCCAGCCTTCGTCGACGACGTAATTCAGGGAGGTTTGCCGTCGTCGCTAAAACGTAAGTATAGAACTATACTTTTTGCGTGTAAATCACTCTTTCCCCCTCTTGTCATTCAGTACAAGTAGAAATATATTCTTTGTGGATTAGCAGAATCCAAATGTTAAACACTTTGTCGGTTTCTTCGCCTGCTAACTTGAATTTATTTTGCAGGTTCGGTTTGTTTGAAAACCTGAGTGATGGCGGAACAACAAGTCGGACAGACAAGTGAGCTTTCCTCTGCTATATATCTTCCGAACCTTTTAGATTAGCTGCTGTTCGTTCCCTTACGGTCCTATGTTTACTCATGCATTCTAGGTTGTGCTATAGGATAAATGTTCATCTTTTCGTACTAAGATTTAATAATTTCCCATGTTGTTTTTAGCCGCTATTAAAGGCAACTATTTTCCAGTGGATTCAGCTGGAACATGATGTGGTTATTAGGAGCCCTGAGAGAGGACAAAAATGGGAGAACATTTTAGCAGCACTGAATTCTCTTCAGCAGCCGAAATTTAGCTTAACTGCAAGTCAAGAGCTGTTCGAGATCGGTATACAGGTTTAACTTCATTTCAAAACAAAAACAAAAGCTGCGCGACGAAGAGAAAGCCTCCACAATAAAATAATCCAGGTCCTAAAGAACAATGAATTCACCATCGTCGATTAAACCATCTTCATACCTTATAAAATGCAAATTACGGAGGTCTTTGAATGCCCTAATAAGACTGTAACAAGACAAAGTTCTTCGCAAAGGAAAAGTCGTCGTCCGTCTGGGAAGCTGCACTGCTTAAACTTCGTTTTCCCCGCCGAAAACGAAACCCTTGGCCCAGTCTGCCTCGGTTGGGAAGCGTCGTCGTCGTCCGTTTAGATGTCGATGCTTAAGGTCCCTAATGTCGTGGGTAACAAAGTATAGAAAAAAAAATATAAAGTAAAGTAATTGAAGAAAAAAATTAATATTTGTGAAACGAAAATCTCCGACTCCTTGGTTTCCCTTTTTTCACGGCTTCTTGGTCCTCTTCCTGACATTTCCTTAGCCAGTTAGGACTTGGGTCCTCTTTCACAACATCACTGTATCAGCCCAGAGGCTAGCGACTGGTTATGAACCGCAAGGGACCATGGGAAGGGTATAGTCACGGCCGTTGTCTCCTTCCCGCCTTCCTTTGCGTGCACATTTTCATCGAGAGAGAGACGTCTGGGTACGATGCTGCCACTGTATAACGACATGTTGCCGATAAAGATTTATCCATATCTGAGCGATCCGCGAAATAAACGAAACAGGCGTGAAATATGTCGAAACGTGCAATTTACAGAAAGTATGGGACAGCTCTGACTAGCTATTAATCTTTATTGAATCTACAATTCCAATGATCAGCGGAGATTTTTTAACACGATGGAATACGATCATCGTGGGAAACGGGAGGGGAAGTGAGGAGAAAGAAGGACACTTTTGAGCTTTTTCATATTTTTGGATAGAAGTCTTTAGCCTGGTTCTCATATGCCGCCGATGCACCTGCGACATGGCCGCCGGTACTGCCTGGGATACTGTTCCGATGCCGAACAGAAGTGGCCGTCAACATTGGTCATCTCAGTCTTTATCGCCGGCATGTGCACGAAGTTGATTCGAGTTCAACTTCGCAGGCATGCCGGTGGTAAAGCTCTGAGATGGCTCTAGTTGCCGGTGGCGCATGTATTCATTCGTCCCGGGAAGTAGCCCAGACGGTACCGGCGGCTACGTTGCACGGATACATCGGCCGCATATGAGAATTAACCAGGCTTTTCTTAAAGAAGTTTTGGGTCTCTTAGCTTACGAAGGAACCATCTTCATGCTCAACCTTTCAAGGTAAGGCGAGACTTTTATATAAAAATTTTATTGTTGTACGGAAATTTATATATATAATTTTCTCGATTCTTTTTTGTTTTGTTTTGTGTATAAAGTCTTTGCTGTAACGATTCTGAAACTGCGGGACGTTTCAGTCACGGATATTTTGATATCTTTGAGAAAAAGCAGTTCAGTCTCCAGTTTTTCTTTAGCCTGCTTCAGGTTTACATAGTGTACAGAGTTTCTTTTATTTTTCGCCTAGATGCCTTTTTGGAGTCCGTTTGTACTAAAGGACTCGCTTATTTGCTTTGCTGACCGCGGGAAATCGAAGGGGAATAGGACTGGTATGTACGCGGAGTCCGTTTCAAGAATTTTACAACTTTTTGCTATTTAATTTAATAAATTTTTATTTTTATGGGAAATGTTTTTACCCACGACATTTACCCACACCCTCGACCACAACCACACTCACGACCCACGTTCTCTCGCCCGCTCTTTCCCAGACTTCGCGCGGGGCTCGAGTGCGAGTGTAGCTAAATGTCGTGGGTCGTGGCAAGTAATCGGCTCCTGGTCGTAGGTAGTGGGTAGAGGTCGTGGGTCGTGGGTGTGGGTGTGGGTAAATGTCGTGTGTAAAAAAAAAGTTGTCCAAAAAAAATAATAAATTAAAATTAGGCAAAAACTAGCACTTTTTTTGGTAACTTTTAGGCTATTTTGAACCAAAATGCTGAATAACTCAGTAACCCCCCTTTTTTAAATAAACAAGTTAAAATTCTCTTGGTTAAAATTCTAAACATCTTTCTAGTAAAACGCATATTTTTACCCTTTGAATGCGTATCATTTGCACGTGGTAATTAATTACAAGAATTGGGTTTGGGAACACCGCGGCAAAACGCAATGCGCATGAGCACAAAATTTGACATCCGGTCAGCTTTTTATTTCCGGTCTAGTATATAAATCAATTGCGTAAGCATAACATCGCCGTCGCACCAAGTTTAAAAGCAAAAAGGGCGAAACAGACAAAAAAGGGGGCGAAAAAAATCACTTCAATCGAAAGCTTATATATTTTTCTAGTGTCAAACTTTTGCACCACATGGTTATCTGTTTGCACCAACGGTGAAAATGATGTTTGAAGTTTGCAGGTCGCGAGCGCTCGACATGACGACTTTGTTTTTACTGGCTTTCTTGCATGCTTCTGGTTTGGCATAAGTTAATTTGGGAGAAGGCGACAACTAAGAAAAGAATAACAATACTTATGAAAGAAACCAAAATAAAGACGTCATCATTATCATTAACACTAAAACCAGGAATTAAAATATTAGTCCGTTTAATAATTTTTTTATTATCAGAGAAAACAAGAACTCAAAACAAAAGATGGGCGGGATTTAATAACAACTTCGACTTTGACGACTGCAGTCACAAACACTCGCAGGTTTTCAGTGCCGGGAAACTAAACATGCCTATAAATGACTTTCATTCAAGAAAATGCCTATTTAATTCTTTTACATGGTTTTTCTTTGGTTGAAGACTTCAATAACTTCAGACTGTGCGGCTCGGCTGCATCTCATGCAAACACGAAACTTCCAACTGCTAAATACATGGCATGAAAAGTTCGACTTCTAAAAGCCATCGAACCAGCTTTCGCTCTCTGATTCTGAGAATGAAAAAATAAACTGAGAGTTGTCAACTTGCTGCCAACCTCAACAGTATAATTAAGCTTATGTTTCATGGCAATCATCCAGGGGCACCCAACGGCAATTTTCGGGAAAATATCTGTTCGGAACACGATTTGAGAACTAGAATTTTCGGAACATTTGTTGTAAAATTCCTTGCTTGCCTGCCTCTCCTAGGATTTTCGAACATCTACAAAATGGTATAATTACCCATTTTAAACGGATATTTACCCTAAAGAAGGCAACCTAGAATTTTCGGGAGCCTTTTCCTGGCTAAAATTTTCGAAAAGGTAAGTTTTGATCCCTATAATTTTCGGATCACTAGACTTTCAGCTAGGAAATCCGAACAGATGAAAAGTTTTTAGGGGATAAAAATATGCCTATATCTACCGTTTAAATACTAAAATACGTTCAACAATGCTTTGTTAAGTGGTTTTGAACTATATGCTCGTTGGGTGCCCCTGATCATCTCAGAGGAGTTTCGTTTCAAAACAAGGTAAGACTCACTGGTGAAAAAAATAAAAATAAAAAAGCGATTGTGTGTTGTGGTTTCCCAAATAAAGCTCGAATCGGCTTTAAGACATGTAGACTGAGAAATTGAAGAACTGGAAATTAGAACTAAAATACACAAGCTTGCAATGATAACTTTTTATGTCTTAGTTTCAGCCAGGTTAAGTGAAAAATAACAGTCAAAAACTTTGTTTTCGTGAATGAAAATCAGTTTACCTGAGGTTCTAGTCAAAATTACCAATGAAATTACACACTCTGAGTTATTATCACCTTACCTTTTCTGAATCTAATCGACTAATTGTTTCAGTGATCTGTGCCTGGTTATCCATAAAAGCAATTTCAATAACTACAAAATAGTCAAAACACGAGCAGCATGAAGCAGAAGAACTGAACCACAAGCTGCACACAGAATGAATCCGAACGCGCGCGGGAGACTTTGGGCGCTTTCCATTTAGGAAAAAAACCCGGAAATTTCGGTGGTAGCAAAAGTGGAATTTCCGATTGGTAAAAAGTTGTTCCATTTGGTCGTCAACCCCGGTACGTGGCGGTGCCCGACCGTGGACCTGGAACTGGTACAAACTACGAGAAACGTAAATGGAACACGAGATTCCGTTCGGAAATTCCAACCGGGAAAACGGGACCACCTTTTTAGATTTTCCACTTTTTCTGGGAATTTTCCAGTGGGACGAACCGACAAAACGTGTTCCATTTACCACCGAACCGGAAATTCCGGAAATTTTGAGTAAATGGAAAGCGCCCTTTGATCTGACTGGAAAGTGTGACTGAAAAAGAGACCGGAAATGTTCATTCTGGCGCATGCGTAGACGTTTTGCCGCGGTGTTGGGTTTGGGAACACCGCGGCAAAACGCAATGCGCATGAGCACAAAATTTAATATCCGGTCAGCTTTTTATTTCCGGTCTAGTATATTTAACAATTATTCTTTGAAATCGAGGTGAATAGTGGCAAAATATTTACCGAGACGCGAAAGCGGCGAGGTAAATATTCCCAAAGCCACTATTCACCGAGATTGAAAAGAATAATTGTTTTAGTATATACACATGAAGTGATCTCAACAAAATCAGAGAGGAAACCATTCAAAAGTACGATTTGATTGACAGATCAAATCACGCGTAAGTTTAAAAATAGATCTTTGCAGAAATTTCAAACATGGCAATTCACAAGTTTATCATTTCGCAAACAACAGCGTAATGGCTTAAATGGAACCGCCAAAAGTTTGAACTGTTTCCTTACCTGAGAAGAAAAGTAGAGCTGTGTTGTTTTCTGTTGACTCGCCACGTTTATAGCCAAAAGGGTTTGTTGTGTCGTTCTTCGCATGAAGTGCTGACAAAAATGGCGGCTCATTTGCTCGAGGTAAGACGTCGTCTTTCTGTATCATTCTTTTTCCTGTTTACTTGAAACGTAGAATTTCTGCAAACATTTCCTTTTAAATTTGTTTGTCATAAATAAACTTCGATTTTTGAGCCAAAATTGTCTTCTTAGAAAACGGAAACGGCTTCTTCTACGCGAATACACGGGAGTTGTAAACAATCCATCGAGCACAAAACTCCTGCTACTACTGAGTGCTACAGTAAATTGAAAAACGCCGTATTGAATCCTTCCAAGTCTTTTCTTGCCTTAAAAAAAGTCAGCCCTAGGATTCTGTCGACTTTTAAAAGATCGTTCTCTAAAAAATGGGAAAAACACTGAGCTCACACATTATCCACTCGCTAGGAGGTGAATATTGTTGAATAGTCCGAGATAGCGAACCAATCAGATTGCTTAAATCACCAAGATCACTGAGTGTGTATATACTAAAAACCAATAGCGTAAGCATAACTTTGCCGTCGCGCCAAGTTTAAAAGCAAAAAGGGCGAAACAGACAAAAAAGGGGGCCAAAAAAACCACTTCATTCGAAAGCTTACATATTTTTCTATTCTCAAACTTTTGCACCACATGGTTTTCTGTTTGCACCAACGGTGAAAATGATGTTTGAAGTTTGCAGGTCGCGAGCGCTCGACAAGACGAATCTGTTTTTACTGGCTTTCTTGCATGCTACTGGTTTGGCATAAGTTAATTTGGGACAAGGCGACAACTAAGAAAAGAATAACAATACTTATGAAAGAAACCAAAATAAAGACGTCATCATTATCATAAAAAACACTAAAACCAGGAAATAAAATTTTAGTCCGTTCAATAATTTGCTTTATTTTCAGAGAAAACAAGAACTCAAAACAAAAGATGGGCGGGATTTAATAACAACTTTGACTTTGATGACTGCAGTCACCGGGAAACTAAACATGCCTATAAATGACTTTCATTCAAGAAAATGCCTATTTAATTCTTTTACATGGTTGTTCTTTTGTTGAAGACTTTAATAATTTCAGACTGTGCGGCTCGGCTGCATCTCATGAAAACACGAAACTTCTAGCTGCTAACTACATGGCATGAAAAGTTCGACTTCTAAAAGCCACTGAACCAGCTTTCGCTCTCTGATTCTGAGAATGGAAAAATAAATAAATAGAGTTGTCAACTTGCTGCCAACCGGCTCAACAGTAAATTAAGCTTATGTTTCATGGCAATCAACCCAGAAGAGTTTCGTTTTAAAACACGGTAAAACCCACTGGTAAACAAAACTACAAAGCGATTGTGTGTTGTCGTTCTCCAAATAAAGTTTGAATCGGCTTTAACACATGTAGACTGAGAAACTGAAGAACTGAAAATTAGCACTACAATACACAAGCTTGCAATGATAACGTTTTAATTTTATGTCTTAGTTTCAGCCAGGTTAAGTGAAAAATAACAGTCAAAAACTTTATTTTCGTGAATGAAAATCAGTTTACCTGACGCTCTAGCCAAAATTACACACTGAGTTATTATCATCTTACCTTTTCTGAATCTAATCGACTAATTGTTTCAGTGATCTGTGCCTGGTTATCCATAAAAGCAATTTCAATAACTACAAAATAGTCAAAAACACGAGCAGCATAAAGCAGAACAACTGAACCACAAGCTGCGCACAGAATGAAGCCGAGAGCGCGCGGGAGACTTTGACTGGAAAGTGTGACTGAAAAAGAGACCGGAAAACTGACCGGAAATGCTCAACCTGGCGCATGCGTAGACGTTTTGCCGCGGTGTTGGGTTTGGGTAGCCTCATCCTCGTTCCCAGGGCTTTTCCCTTCTCATGGGGGCGAAGGGAAAAGCCCTGGGAACGAGGCTGGGGTAGCCTGTGGACTGTGTGTAAACAAAATGGCGGACGCCGCGTTGTCTTCTGAGGACGAAGAAATCGAAAACCCCATTGAAACTGCAGTTAGCAGGGGAGCTTCGCTCGAGGAGCCTGAAAAGGCTTCGATTTCCCGAAAGGGGAAAGTAATTACACTTACTCTCTAACTTTTTGTAACTAGCCACTTAGATTCAACTAAAGGTTGCCTAATTTTTGTTGTAACTTGTTACTCAGTTGTACCTTAATGTTGATTACAAAGCAATTGTTATTAAAATTAGACACGCTGTCTTAAAATATTCGAGCAACTTTACAAAATTTTTGAGCAACTTTGGAACAACCTTTTGGCATATTTCTTGGCAACTTTTTAGCTTTTTCGGAGCAGAATCTGGAAAGGCCTATTTAAGGAAGTATAGGGAAGAGAACGAAGAAGAAGCCGTGACGAAAGGGGCAATCCAGGAGTTGGAGATTTTGTTATTATTAGTTTCTATTTTATTATTATTTTTCAACTTTTCTTACCCGCGACATTTATAAGGCATTTGCAAAGTTGTTTCCAACCGGAAAACTTGGGGTCGCACTTGGCAATGTCTCCTGACGACAGATTTCTACCGCAAGGTAAACAAATTTTTCCAAAAATTTGCCAAGTGCGACCCATGCCTTACCCACAACCACACCCACGACTTGCGACCTCTCCCCACTACCCACGACCCACGACATCCAGCTACTATGGTCGGACCATTACGTGAGTGCATACACCAAGTACTTACCGTAATTTGATTGTGAAAGTTCAGCTGACTGGATACACTTCTTCCATCAACAATCTAAAGTAAAGGTAAGCTTCTTATTTACCGAGAACAGATAAAACGGTAAATGACTTGTTTTAGTTGTGTGTCAAACGTTTTTAAACAGCCTGGGACATCAGGGTGCAAAGAAAGTCGGTTTTACGGCTTACCATTCGGGCAAGTTGTTGCTAGTATGTACTAACCCAAGAGTCTTTATTAAAGTAGCCCCAAAAAATTTTGGATGAGCACCATTGATTGCAGTTCTTCTGTAATTTGAATTTCCCAAAAGCCAGTTAAGAACAGGATTCACTAGCCCGATTGCAAAATCCACCAGCCCCGGGCTATCGCACACGACTTTGTTTGCACGCTGTGATTATTACTATAATTTATGCAGCTCGGTGTTTGAGCGCGACCATTCAACCAAATTTTCGACCGGTCCGACCGGGAAAAGTGGTCCACCTGAAAAGGTGGACCAGTTTTTTCGAAACTTTTCCGGTTGGACCGAACCGATCCATTGAGTTTTGGACCGAAATTTCCGGAAATTTTGGATGAATGGATCGCGCCCCTTGTACATGTTTTGTATCCCGGGGTAGTGATATATATTTTCATTACTTAGAGAGCTTGGATCAACTTCTGATCTAGTGAATTCTATTAAAAGCATTGTTTACTGTTCAGTGCAGGCAGCTATAAGACGACGGCGCCCGCCAGTTGATCATGGTAATCATGAGTAACGTGCATTACCATCCCTGTTAACATGTGTTAATGTAACTCTTTCGATTCAAAACAGGGTGCAAATTAAAGAAAGTCATTTTTAAAGCTTGCCATTCGGGCAAGCTGAAGCTAGAATATACTAGCCCAAAAGTCATTTCAACTAGCCCCAAAAACATTTTGATGAGCAGAATTGATTTCACAGTTCTTCTGTAATTTGAATTCCTCAAAAACCTTCACTTGCCTTTCAGGCAAGTTAAGATCAAAATTCACTAGCCTGATAGCAAAATCTACTAGCCCCGGGCTATTAGACACTACTATCTTTGCATGCGGCAAAAGTATTGTTTGGTATTGTTTGTTAAGTTAGTTTGATTTCTTTATTGTATTTGCATATCGTAATTTTATAAATGCTTTTATAGATTTACCCACTATTAATAGCGGGGCTCCCTCGCGCGCGAAGCGCGCGTGGGACAGAGCCCCATACTCATGGAATATGGTCAACCTCTTTTCTTTTGGTTGTCACGTGACTGACCGAGCGTACGTACGTACGTACGTACGTACGTGTCTACAGATTGTACGGGTAGGGTAGGGGAGACTGTCAAAAGGAAGGGAGGGGTGTCTCAGGCGTGTCTTAGCAAATCCACATCTTTTACATTGGCCATTCACGATATGGCCAATTGACAGCTGTCAAAACAAGATAGCCACTGACCAGTATCACATTGCAATATCGGGGGCTCATGTGTCAACTCATCAAGGTGACGTGAGTTATTTGGAAGCTGTCCGCTGACCAGTTGTTTTACTAGATCGCGATCAATGTTCAATCTCATACTTTCTAGCTAGTTTGAGAGCACAGAAAAACTGATAATGCACACATCCATTAGACATCAATGTTTTGATCAATTGACAGCTGTCAAAACAGGGTATCCGCTGACCAGTATCACTTGACCGTATCGCGGGCTCAGGTGTTAACCCATCGAGGTCAAGTATTTTTTTGAAGTTATCCGCTGACAAGTTACTAGTTTTCAAATGATCGCAGGCTCAAGTTTGATTTTTTTTCATTCCTATGAAATATGTTTTGTTTTTGGGCCGCACAATTAAAATTTTGATTTAAAACTGACCTCGGACCCGAAAATTCAGCCAGCTATTACAGGCAAGACAGTTGCTTTTGACTTTGCTCACCATGGTCACACGTTGGTCACGCTCTACATCCATTTTTAAGCTCTGATTGGTCAAAATTTGACAGGTGAGCTCATGCGGAAAATTTATGCAGCATTTTGAATCTTGTTTACTTTGACAGCTGAAGCTGAGAGAGTTTTGTGTCAACTTGTGATGTTTTTAACTGTCTTTTTCCACTGGATGCACAAAATGAAATTTAGCTGCTATCAGGAGCCTTCTGTTATTCATGGCTAGTTGGTTTTTGGTTGAGAAATTAATACATCACTTGTCAAAGTCGGGAATCCGATTTCGGGTGTCAACGTTTTTGTCAGATTTTTGTTTTTCACCTTGCTTGATGCGCGTAGAGGCTGAAAACTCTGAAGCGATACTGGCCTTCCTTGATACCTTTCAGGAGCTGCATCTCGAATAGTAAGCCTCAGTAATTATTGTGTTTGATGTTTGTTTTTTATATCTAATTTAAAGAAGTCGAGCGTATTTTATGCGGCTATGTAGTTTATGCACGTTTGTAAGATTTGAGACAATTTGATCTGACCACGAATCAGGTAAACTTGATATAAGTTTACACAACTTTAAAAAGTCTATATTTAGTTATAATTCTGGCAGTAAAAGAAAGCTTTGAGCGATTTTCTTGCCTCGAGTTCATCTGTGAAAAAAGTAAATACCGGGAAGCCGGCTTAAAACATAAACTTTATACGCTTTAAGCTTGAAGACTCTGGATTTTTAGAGACACTTTAATATTTGTCTTCGTGAATGAAAAATGTTGTCTCTGTATATGTTTCGCCGAATTATATTTCCTTTATTGATTGCTGGTAGTCTCTCTTGTAATTTTAATCGCTGTGCCGTTTGTTTTCAGTCGTTCAGTGAACATCGCTTGCAGGAGTACTCAAAATGCCGCGCGTATCAAACGCTTTTAAAGATTACAGATCGATAAAACCATTAAATAAAAAATAAACATAATAATTTCTTTATTGTGTTGGAGCTTAACTCTAGTATGTTCGTTCAAACATTCGCTACAGCTCGCACTGCAAAAGTGAGAACCGGCTGGCTGTATACGTGATTTTGGACATTTTTTTAACGGTTTAGCTAAAAGCCCACGCGTGCTTCGATCGTCCTGAATATTGAATGAATGCAATTTCTCTTGCAAAACTGTGAAATACTGAATTCTGTCTGAGGTCTGTATGATAAAAACAGTACCTCATAGTACTGTTTCACCTCAGATGTGATGTATAAATGGTATAAAAGGGTTGTTTACACGCAACCAGATTTGTTGGCAAGATTTTATAAAGTAAACTTGTCGAACGCAAAAAAATTCAACCAGATTTTTTTTCCAGGCCTAATTAATCTTACGGTGATCAAAAGCCATTATGGCTCTTAAATGTGATCGAAGATGATTGCTATTTTTTTGGGTGTACATATGAGGTTATCAACTCGATGTAAGATTTTGTTCACTCTTGGGCAGATTGCAAATTATTTTTGTCTAAAATCACTTAGCCTTTCCCTCAAAAGTCACATGAATGTGCTATGTGCTCTTAAGTTAACTGAATTGTGGAATACAAGTTTATTGTTTGATTTAAATTATAAATATATAATGGGAGCGTCGCTTTTAGCCCTGGCTAAATCTATATATTAATGTTCTATACCAGAAACTAAGATTGCAGATGTTAAACTTTGTACATGTAGGTTGCTAGGAACTCTGGAATGTTTACCCTTGGAGAATCATCATGGCATTCATTTTAATCACATGATGCTTGTATGTTGAAACATCACATAAGTAAATACAGATTATTAATAATTGTGATTATAATTTGTATGAAAAAAGAAAACTAATAAATCATGACACAGGAAATAAAAAACAAGTCTCCCACTCACTTAGAATTTCCATTAACTCCCCTTAAGGTGGCTATAGATGGATTTTTCTGGAACTAAACAATTTCATCTTTACCTTGCCTAGCCGAGTTTCTAAGAGAGAGTAGATATATGTAAATGTAAATGTAAATGTCGTGATTGAGAGGACAAACATACATGTCCTCTTTACATAGCTTTTTGCAGTGGGCTCGGACATCAGCATACTAAGGGAGCCGATGGCAGCTGCTATCAGTCCATTTATGAGCCCACTGAACCCTCCCAACCCATGATGAGTGATGATGTAAGTGATGAAGATAGACCACAACACCGGGAACTACGCCCCCTACTCTTTTCGAATAGTGTGTGGGTTCTTTAACGTCCCACAGAGTTATATGTGAACAAGGTTTGTGAGACGGGACCTCCGGTTTATAGTCCTTATCCGAGAAGACTTGAAAGTCTAATCATTTGCAGATGTCATTACTAAGACAGCACTTTCTCCTCAGTTATTTTTAAGACCCTGAGTGTTGGTCCGGCCAGGATTCAAACTCGCAACCTCCCGCTCAGCAGACGGGCGCTCTCCCAACTGAGCTAACCACAGACTGCATTCTACTATGCTGACTGCAAATTATTTAGGACCATGTTGTTATTCTTCACAGCTGTAAAAAAAAGGTAATGGACCTAATAAAGAATGGATGGTTTTCTGAGGTCAATGACGAATGGCCAGGAGAAGCTTTTTCCCTTGAGGTCGAAGAAATTCTTTACACAGGAAAATCAAAATACCAAGATATTTTGATATTTAAAAGGTAACAGAAGTAATTTCATCGTGATAGGCAGCACGATTTGACATGTTAGATTCATAGAGAGACTTTATCACACACTTGTGATAACTTTTCCTGATTATTCATTCAATGAATATTGATTTGAGGTGATGCATTTACAAGTATAATCAACCACTGTAACTCACTAAAAAAAGGAAAACGTTTAGGGATAGAGTTTCAGGGGTTGACACAGACTATTGCATCCAGGTTTTGTCATACAGCCATTAATAATAAACATAGTTGACCTAAAAATGCACAAATGGATCACTTTGCTAGATATGAATGAATTAGTCCCACATGAAGGTTGAGGTCATCAATGCCTATATATTTGCATCAACCTCTTAGAAGAGTTTTGGGGGATGTTAATTCCTGTTCATGGTAATTTTCCTATCTTAGGTTATAGAAATATATGATCAACCTACATGTAATTACCTCTGAAATGTCTTTTAGTAAACACCACGGGAAAGTTCTCGTTCTGGATGGAGTTATTCAATGCACTGATAGAGATGAATTTTCTTATCAAGAAATGATCACTTTTCTTCCACTCAATTCCCATCCTTGTCCCAAAAAGGTAAAAACTGAGCATACAGAAGTTACTTCAATCAACCTTCCAAGTTGTGACCATTTTGGTCGCCATGGCACCTAAAATGTTTGAGCTGGCGACTTGATCTGTAAAAAAGTCTCCCTTAACCAAAAGAGTTGGCGGAATGGTGACTGAGCGAAAACCTTAACTTGGAGGGTTGTACTTGACTTGAGCTAGTTGGATTTTACTATTAAAAATAATTATTCCTCCGTCGTAACTTAGTTTATTTGAGATTAACATTTTCAACATTTTAATGTCACCTGTGATAGTTTAATATTTGGTCATTTAGCAATGCACTATTAAACCACAAGCACAGTCTTAAAGAAGTGTACCATTATTTTTTGGAACTGTCATTATTTTGTTCAAAAGCATTTTGTAGCTTATATTTTTTCTTTTTCGTTATAGTGTCAACAGTATAATATCGTTAATTGATTAATTTAATGTAATTTACCTAATATGATCTGACCTGACTGGTGGATTGTATTTTAATGCATGGTGTTTTTTTTAATCATCATGTTTATGGTCAACCCTTAATCATCATACAGTAGTATTCTAACTTTAATACTGTTGCTCAACACTTATACTAAATTATTAGTTTATTGCTGAAACCGTCATTTTGTCTTTTTCAGGTTCTTGTTATCGGTGGTGGAGATGGAGGAGTCATAAGAGAGGTGTCCAAGCATCCAGCCGTTGAATCCATTGTGCAGTGTGAAATAGATGAGGTAAGTAATCTCGAGGGTACAAAGAAAGTCAGTTTTACAGCCTTCCATTCGGGCAAGCTGTAGCTAGCATTTACTAGCCCTCAAGTCATTTCAACTAGCCCCAAAACCCTTTTTGATTAGCAGGATTGATTACAATCCTTCTGTAATTTGAATTTCCTCAAAAAACAGCACTTACCCTTCGGGCAGGTTAAGAACAAAATTTGCTAGCCCGATAGCAAAATCCACTAGCCCCGGGCTATCGGACACGACTTTCTTTGCACACTGGTAATGACAATGACGTTACCTTACAAATGATTTATATAAAGAAGGCAGTAGGGTGCAAAGAAAGTCAGTTTTACAGCTTGCCATTCGATCAGGCAAGCGGTAGCTAGCACATACTAGCCCAAAAGTCATTTCAACTAGCCTGAAAAAATTTTTGATGAGCATTGATTACCGTTCTTCTGTAATTTGAATTCCCCCAAAAAACTTCATTTGCCCATCAGGCAAGTTAAGAATAGAAATCACTAGCCCAGTAGCAAAATCCACTAGCCCCAGGCTATCAAACACCACTTTCTTTACACGCTGAGGCAGGGTCACTTACCAAACGGGAGGCACAAGTGGCTAGCACCAACCTCAAGTCTTGTCATAACTCTGTTTCAAAGGATATTACCATTTTCACCCCTCTATGTGTGTCTTTGAACCCAGGTAGGTACATGTATAAATGGGTACAGAGGACAACCTTCCAGGGTTAAATCCTGTAATGCACAAGCATCTCATCAAGTTAGTTGGGGGTGGGGAAGGGGGTAGGGTGGTGGGAGTAGAGATTCTCCTTACAGGAGTAAACATTTTACTAATTTCTTTGTAGAAGTCTTTGTGATAAAAAGAAAAAAAAACTTAATTCTTTGATTTAATCAGATTTAATTGCCACTATTAATGTTAATTTTTGTTACTATAAATTGTAGTTTTCTTTTGCTTGTAAATATTTGTTGTTGTTGTTGTTTTTGTTACTGGTTAGCTACTGTGTTTTGTCTTAAAATCCTTTTTCCTGCATATATTCCCTTTAGCAACATAACCTCAAAGCTACTAAGATTCTCTTGCCCCTCCATACCACTCCACACCCCACCATTCCGCTCAGCTCAATCCAAGATGCTGAACACATGTGTTGGTCGTCACAGAGTCATTGTGTACTTACTGTCTTTTTTTTTATCTGGCAGGAAGTGATTAATGTATGTAAGAAGCATTTACCAAATATGGCAAAGGGATACAGTTCACCTAAACTGACTCAGTATATTGGGGATGGCTTTGAGTACATGCGGCAACATGAAAATGAATTTGACGTTGTCATTACAGACTCATCAGATCCTGTTGGTATGTATCATCATTATCATCATCATTGTCATCGTAGTATTCGTCATCCCCCAATTTGGGAGTAGGAAACGGGCATGCATATGACCAAATCAGTATTGTTCAGTGTTGTTACAAGTTTTGCATTTCCTGTTAGGCTTTTCACAGTCTGATAACCCGCGACCGGCGATGTCAAAAACGTCTTTGGATTTCCTTTGGATTTTGGGTTTTCTGTGACGTCAATCAAAATGTGAAGAATCGGCGCTTTCTCGCCTTCACATCTTAGCGGACCTCTTAGGAAACAGGTCAACGTTTGTGATTGTGATTGATATATTTCGATCCGTTTTGCGTGTTTCTATGTTCCTTGCTTTTGAACTTCAGGGTTCGGTCGCGTGATTTTGAAAAACAGCAAGTTTTACATTTATCGCTCTAAGTTTTTTCATTTTCTTTTATATAATGAAGCGTGACAAGTTTAGATTGTTCCTGTAGAGCTTCCAAATCCAGAAGAAACACAGATATGGGAAAGTGAAAACTAATCAGTACGTTCTCCCTAACATTTACTTTTGCAGCTTCTGCTCGTTATTGTAGCTGCCGCCTTCATTTCACAAACACGGTGGATGCTACGGTAACGGTTTGATTAACGTCGCTGAAAAACCCAAAATCCTGAAACGTTTTTGACAACGTAGGTGGCGTGTTATCCCAAACAGCTGTGATTGTTGCTTGCATTTTACTTCCTGGAGAACATATCTGTTGCAAATTTGGATTTTAACTGTAAAAGCATCATGTGAGAATTGCTTTGTGTATACAGGTAGTATATTGTAGCGACTCAGCAGTAAGCTGTGCCTCATTTTCCTTGTTAAACCTTGTAACATCATCAAAACTTAAAGTAAATTCTTCACTTTTTTCTTTTTTGTTAGGTCCAGCGGAGCCTCTTTTTAAAGAACCATATTATGAGCTTCTGAAAAAGGCCTTAAAACCAGATGGTCTCCTTTGTTCTCAAGGTAGTCGCGCAACTTTCAGTGTAGATGCGCTTTTGGGTAGTACGTAATAAGCTGTGCAAGGGATAAATTCCATTCAAAAGCTCAATAATAATTCGTAAAGAAAAAACAATAGAAATTAATGTTTTTTGACTGTCTTTGTATCTGATAAAGACGCGGCTAAACTTTTCGTTCAATTTTTTAGACCATAATAATCCCAAATCTAAATATTAGCACAAGAATGAGTTGATCTATATCACAGAATTTGAGGCCGTTCAACAAACTCGCAGTCGTATATTATCATGTTGAAAAACTCGGGGCGACTACACTCCTGTTCGTTTTTTAAACAGTACTTATAGCCCATCCATTATCGCTTCTAATCACTGTAGACTAGATATATTGTGAAAAAAAAATTTCCTTGCGAGATAATTTTGGCTTATCTGTAAAAAAGCGATTATTTCAAAGCAGAACTGGTGTACATTTGTTCAGTTGCTCTTGACTAATAAAGACGATCTACACCAGCAAGATCAAGAAAAGCAACTTTATCTATTTATTTTCTTCCTCACTGTTTTGCTTTTGGATAGTTGTTAGCTTTGGATGAACGTTGCGGATAATACTGTATACCACTTAACTTTTTTTTGTAAATGTGTCAACTATGGATACAATACAATGCCAGCTGACAAACAACCAAACGCTGCTTGAGAATACACATAGGTATACAGCTATTTCGAGAAAGGTTGTAGGAAAAAATGTGCAGCGACAATCCCGAAAGGTAATATGGGATATGATCAATACACTGTTCCTGACGACTGTAGCTGTCGATCCTACTTTTATTGCTTTCCTTTAGCACTCGCAAACACATTTCCTTCCAGGATTGTCGCATGCACTTTTCCCGACAACCTTTCTCGAAATAGCTGTATACAACACCTGAAGAAGAATCATGAGGTTATCCCTATAATTTAGATCTCTTCTTACAGATAACCCACCCAGCCCTAAACCACCAGGAGTCCCCATTTTTCCTCAGGGATAGTAGAGCGATCGAAACGCGAGCGCGCGTGAAAATCATCGCCCGTGAGAAAGGCGAGACGCGAGGTATTGTTGGCCACACCACCCAGGTCTACGTCCCTTACTCTTTTCGAACAGTGACTTGGGTTCCTTTACGTCCCACAAGCACCAGACAAGTGAAAGTGCTGTGAGACTTAACCTACGGTTTTATAATGTCCTTTTCCGGGGTGACTAGAAAGTCTAACCGTTTGCGAATGTTATTACAATGGCAGTATTTTCTTCTTGGTTATTTAAAGGCCTTGAGTGCTTGTCCGGCCTGGGTTTGAACCCGTGACCTCACGCTCGGTAGACCGGCGCTTTCCTAACTGAAGTAAGCAGGCGTGGTGAGAAATGCTAAAAAAATCGTTTTATGTCTTCTGTTGATTAATTTGCCTTTCTTGTTTATTTACATTTTTCATATTTTATTAGGTGAATGCATGTGGCTTGATCTACCGCTGATTAAGTCTGTGTTAGAATTCAGCAGAAGATTATTTCCTGTGGTTAGTTATGGCTACACTACAATACCCACCTACCCCAGTGGACAGATAGGATTTATTCTCTGCAGTAAGAACAGGGTAGGAGGCATTTAGAGTGAATCGATTCCTATAGGCATGTTTAGCGTAAAAACAGGACTGTATTATTCAGAACGCCAAGTATAATAGAGTTAAATAATTAGAGGAGAGATTTTTCCCATTCTCTTTAGAGAGTTTCCAGATTTTGGATATGAAAATATGCATTTTTTTTTCTTTTTTCCCCCTTCCTTATCCCATTTGCGTTTTCATTTTTAGTTCACAAGATTTGATAATCCAGTTACTGTATTTACTGATGAAGAACTTGAAAAAATGGAGCTTAGATATTACAATGTGGATGTTCACAAGACAGCATTTACCTTACCACAGTTTGCAAAAAAGGTAATTTTTTATTTCTCGTGTTAGAATTGGAGCTACGTAGCTCGCAGTAAGAACATACGACAGGCAAACGAGAATAACCTTGTCGAGAAACACCTAAAACTGCTCCTGAACACCCCTTTGACACTGACGTCTATCATACGTAAAGTCCAACTACATGTTGTGGTCTATTATCAATGCTACGTTCTGATTGGTTGAGCTACTACTAGGCTATATGTTATAGCCCACTAGTAGCGAAAAGCGCCGGCTTTGAAAACCAATTCAATGGCGGCTGAATCGCGTTTGCTAGCTGAAGTTGTTTTGTCTCGATATTTTTGACCAACTAGTTGAATTTTACTAAAACAATTATTCCTCTCGCCCTCATGACCCTTCGGCCTCATGGGCTATTGACTAAGAGTCCATTCGGGCTCGAGGAATAATTGTTAAATAGATGCACGTAATCGTTTTTCTTCATATAAGTAACATATAATAATTACGAACGCGACTCAAAGGAAATAAATGTTGTTTCCCTTTTTCCTGGTAAGTCTTCAAAGGCTGTTCCAGAAACTGTAGAGATTGTTTAGGGCTGTTTACATGTAAGGGGTAGATCCATGCACAAGGAGGGTCCTAGAGAGTGGATCATCCTTGCACCATATATTTACATGCAAAGGGTTTTACTTGTCCCTAGCGTTAGGATCTTCCTAGCTGAGGGGAAGGAAGATCCTAGTACCAAATAAACTGCCTTCGCTAGGAAGATAATAGTACTAGGACCAAACCAGACCGCAAAAATGGCGGCGGGTCGTTCATTTGTTCATCACGGCAATAAAGGCTAAACATTTCGTTTGGCGTACGTTACACCGAGTTGGTAATTGTGAAAATTCTGCCAAAAGATAGTTATTAACGCCAATAAAGAGGGGAGAAGAGCCCATATTACACTTTTGTTTTTGCCGCCCGCCATTTTTCATTCTTTCTCGATCCGTCTCAAATTGGGCACCACATATGGACCGAAATTTCTGCATGTCAACGCGACGAAAAGTTGTTCCCCCTTCTATAGGATCTTCGTGGTACTGGGTTCTTCCTCCCACCATGTAAAAAACACCTAAGTAACAATACAAAACAGACACAATATGAAATGTTTCGCGATTTTCCTTCCCTTTTGCGATTTTGTTTGTTTGTTTGTTGTTGTCAGTTTTTTGATATCAAACTGATGAGGATTGTTTTTGTGTATTTATTGTTTTAGGCGCTTTTGTGCTAATGTCGGTGGTTATAGGCAGCAAAAATGGCTAGTGTAAAGTTATACCAACTCAACAATGGATCTCGTTTGGTATCCTTGGGACCCAGGTCAGCCGCGTCGGGGAAAACGGCGGCGAAGTTTTCAAGAACAGACGAATAAGCTCTCTCGATTGTTCTTGAAAACTGTCGCCGCCGTTGTTCCCCGCCCGACTGATCGTCAATGGTTCTCCTTGGATGCGTGTGGATGCACGCCGCGTTTTTGAGTCTACTGGATTCAAGCGACCATGTTAAAGAATGGACGGCAAATGGCCGCGTCGCCTCAGTCGGACGTTTTTTTGTTTGTTTGTTTTTTTGTTGTTGTTGGTTTTTTTTTTCGTGACGTTGCTGTAGAACAGAGAAAATTTTTTGTCGTTTCTTCAAAATGTGCCAATTGTGAGGAGAGATTTTTTCGTCTGTTCTCCATTTGCCTCCAAGTTAATATCTAGTTGTTGACAGAATATTCGACTTAAGGCCGCTAGGGACACCCATCTTGGAATAAATTCATAAGGCAAAAATTTTGCTTCCGCTATATCTTTAAAACACTTATACCTCAGCTGTTTTAGAGGCGATTTACATAAATTAAACATTAGATTTCTGTTTCTTTACAATCCGGTAGTATTTACCTAAACAAGCTGTTTCTGTAATGATAAGTAGTTATCCTCTAGAAATGTGGGTGCCAGAACCAGTAACCATGTAACACATGTACGCTTAAAAAACTGAGGCTGACCTTCAATAGCCATATCGCTTCACTAGCCTCCTCTCTTTTGCCAACATTAGTTCAAATAAATAGGGTACGACATTTGTTCGCTAAAGATGTACTGTACATAATCCTAAATTCCGTAGTATTTAGCAAACTGTTCTACTGCTCGACCTTATGGTCTGGAACTTCTAAAGAAAACATCCATAAACTACAACTTATGCAAAACTTTGCCGGCCGAATACTTTCTAACACAAAAAAGTTTTATCACATTACACCAGTCTTACATGAACTTGGTTGGCTCACCATCGAAGAGCTAGTATGCTTACTTGATGTACCCATGATCTTTAAATGTCTCAATGCTCAATGGTGCCAAACTACTTAAGTACTAAGTTTGTAAAACGCCCAGAAACTCACTCGTATTGCACTCATTCGTATTGTTGATCTTTGTAATTAATTGTTTATTAGCTTTTTAATTTTTTATAATTGTAGTTTTAGCATTTAAAATTTCATTGTCTTTTATACATGTAATTTTTATTTATTTCGCACATTATAACAACAACCTTGAAAATTTATTCTGAAAGAGCAAATTGGGAGAATAAATAAAATGAACTGTATCGTATTGTATTGTATTGTATTAGTCATTATACATTGAAATGAATCCCACCTTTGACTTCTCAGAAATGATTACAAAACTAGTGTCTCACTGGGAAAGTTGTCTGTTCTGGTTAAAAAACCTTCACGAGCAGCGATTACCTTATCTTGACTTTGAAATAAAGGTCTAATAAACTGCCAAAATTTGCCACGTTGAATTTGAACTTGAATAACTCACCTACAATCAATGATAGAGGTACAAAAAGCTAGCAAATTTCGAAGGAGGAGGAGTTCCTTCCTTCCTTCCTTCCTTCCTTCCTTCCTTCCTTCCTTCCTTCCTTCCTTCCTTCCTTCACTCATTCTTTCATTCATTTATTCATTCATTCATTCATAACTTTATTATATTTCGGGTTGTAGTGTAGCACATAGTGCTAGTATCTCTCAACTACATAAATAAGAACCGATAAATAACTATTTATAGTATCATAAAAAACCGAAAAGAAAAAGAAAAAAATTTAATTATATAAAAACAATAGAACACACGCACACCACTCTTAATAAATATAGTCTATGACACTGCGTTTATGATATTTCGTTTAAAAGTTGCAAGCTATCAAAATTTCTGATATCATCAGTAAGGCTATTCCAGGCATGAGTAGCATAATATCTAAAAGATCGTAAACTATAGGCGCTAGCCTAACGTACAGTATTTCCAGCATGTCATAGTTCCTCAAATTATAATTTGATACACGCTGCTCTTGACTGTACGATCTAAGGTAAGGCGGGGCCATTCCGTGTAAACATTTGTACGATGTCGTCATCATGCTTTGCACCCGTCCTGCCTCTAGGGTGGTCGTATTAAGTTTGGTAAGTAGATCCTCATAAATGCTGGGTGGACCGCTTAACACTACGTAAACGTTAAGTACTTGCCTATTTAACTGCTCTAATTTGTCTCTGTTGCACGCACTACAAAATGCCACACATCGCTACAATAACGAAAAACAGGCTGTATAAATCTATTATGTAGCTTTAACCTGGTTTGTCCTGTCGTCAACTTTCTAAATCGTTTTATAACTTGAAATTGCTTATTTACTCTAGTGCACAAATTTGTAACGTGAAGATAAACCATACATCTTAAAACCGGAGGTAAATCATAAGCGATTTAAAAGGGAGTATAAAAAATGCATCTCACCGAGTAACTTGCAGCCGACTGAATGAAGCATACAGCCTAGTGACGATACAATTCTTACAGCTAACACAGCAGCAAAATATGTTTCATATCGCTGTTTTTCAGTTAAAAGCCAAGAAACTGCTTATTTTCCAGGGTAGCGAATTTCAGATTGAAATATGAAAAGAGTCACTTTGTTTAATGTACATTCTCTTTCAAATATATTGATTAGTTGTAAATACATTGTTGGCCCAACAATGTGGGGAGTTGTTGCGTCCGTTTGCGCATAGCTAATTATATTAAACGTTTAACCCGTTTCAAACTTTGCGCAACAACTCCCAGCGACACGCAAAAACGTGCAACAGGGTGTGCAAACGGACGCAACATGTAACAATCAACAATGCTGGAAGTTGTTGGCAGGGCGTACCTGCCCTTAAGCAAATAAGCACTGGCTTACAAGTGATTCGGACGGTATGATATAAACTTTTTCAAAGGAGATGTACTGGCAAGGAGCCGTGTATTTTCCTTTGGTCGATCACCTCTTACAAGAACTGAATGACGAACTTCTGTCATAAGTGAATCGTTTCTTAGGACATTATCTTGTTCCAGCAAAGCTGAATGCTTTCAACAGCGGAGTACAAGATAAGCTTTATGCAACTTACAAAACCGATCTCTCAGAGAAGAGAGACTTTGACAATGAAATTTTAAGATGGCAAACAAAGTAGTCTCATTCAGCTGATGAAAAACCAGTGACGCTCACAGAGACAGCCTCCAACACGCTAATCCGGACCTTTATCCCAACTTGGTCACAATTATTACCATCCACAATGTCAGTGTCAACTGCTACCCCCTAACGATCTTTTAGCACGTTGTACTTACGTTCCACGATGAAAACAGAGCGACTCGCAGCACTTGTCCTGACGCATGTTTACAGAGACATACCCGTTGATGTAGAGGCCCTGATTCGCGAATTTTACGCAAAAAAGAACAGACGTCTAACTTTCGATTTTCTTTGAGTTCCATTAAGACTTAAGATATGTTTGCCACTAATTTGTCGCTAGTCAGGTAAAATTACATTGTTGCCATTGTTGACCACAACCGCAACTGGCTGCATTTTGTTAAATATTCCATTATTTCTTGTTCGACATAGAGTCCTGGCATTTGCCAATTAATCTAAGCGCCCAGATTGCACCAGATTACATCTCGGAGTACTTTACTTTTCTGAATTTTCCGGGAGGGCATGTCCCCTGACCCCCATAGCATGTCGCGCCTTGGGCTCTCCTTATGGGCGCTATCGCGCCCATATTGTATCTCCCCTCAATATGCTCCACCAAGGCTTACAAACAAAAAATGCCTAGGAACGCCCATGGGTGGCCAACAATGTTGCGCGTCCGTTTGCACGGGGCTTAACATCCAACAATGTTGGGAGTTGTTGGCCAACCATGTTGCATCAGTTTTCACGGGGCTAAGTGGTGTAAATAGCAGGGCTGGTTAAAAGAAGCAAATCCTGAATTTGCCCTTGGATCACTTTTTTTTGGTAATTTCTTTGGTATATTTCTTTGCTGCGAAGGTCGTTGCACCACTTCAGCTTCAGGAGAGGTCCCCAACATTTGTCAAAGTAGGCGATTTGGTATAATTGCGATAAAGGTGGAAAGAACGCGAATTCACTTTTTGAAGGTACGATTTTACCGCCCTAGCCGTCGCGGTGTCTTAAACTCCCTACCTGAGGCACCGGTGGGTGGATGAACAAAAATTACTTCCGGTCACCGTGCTAGACCCATCGGTAGTCCATGTATTAACTAAAGTCATTATTAATAACACAGTGAATGCAAAAGTAGGTACGGATGGACAAACTTCAAGAAGATAAAAACGGTTTGAACTTTGCGTCTTGTTTCTGTTGTAAACGTACTCAAGCTCGCTAGTAACGTTACCTCTCAAAACAATTCTTGATATGCTGCAACGATTTCTCTAAAAAAAATGATGATTTAAAAGAAGGAAAACGCGCGACAAAAACGACGCCCTCAGGTACCTAAAGAGAGGCTCAAATAGTAACTCAAGGCTCAAGGTGAATCACGTCACCACACTCTTTCTAAGCCCATAACCGGAGGCACCGGTTAGGGGTTTTGATATGTTGTAATACTTCGAAATGATTTTGCCTTTAGTGGAAAGCCTTTGATCTTCTTATCACGATGAAGTATATTTTATGGGTGGTGGCGCTGCTGGAGGTCTGTGACGTCACCAAACACCGTGGCCATCTTGGATTTTATCAAGAATTAGAAATCAGGTAAAAACAGTGAGAATTGTAACTTTTTTGCGCTTAACATGTAAAACAATACATAAATAATTACTTTGCATTATTTCATCCACAACAAGCATTTTCACTCATACACGGCTTGGCCGCCTGCTACTTATGACGTCGTATCTCGTAACCATAGTAACTGACTATCAATAAACTTGTCTCAAAATGCACGCGAAGGATAAACAAACAGCTACATAAAACGTCAGGTGCTGATGTTTGATCGTCTTGAAAAAAAATCAGGAAAACCTTAGGGTAGCCTCCCTCCCCCCTCTCATTGCACGTTCGAGGGTTAAGGTGGTAAAATGAATTGAAAATGGTTTCGATACTTCTTTATGTTGCTCTGTTTACTACTATTCCATTTATTTCTTTCCTCATTTTTTTCCAGATTGAGCTGGCAATGTAATGCTATTGGTCACAAGTTTAAACGAGACCGCGTTCTTCTTTAGGTGAGAAATATAGGGACTGGGGAAATTTTATTATTACTGGATGTTCATGATAACTCAGGAATAAAATATGGATGACAAAAATACTGTTATGTTTTGTTTGGAAGCAAGTCAGTTTTAGGATGGCTAGTCACGTCTAATCATCACTTTTTAGCTAGCTGTTATCCCTACCCACCCTGCTATTCCAGCATTCAATCCCACTGAGATTACGGTGTACAAACCTTTGGACTCAGCAGTTTTAACTGCAGCTGATTCTTTTAGAGAGATAAGATATCGGTCACCACTCAGCAACACACAACCCTTTTCCGAAAGCAAGGTAGTTCTACCAAGAAAACCGCCAAAAAAGGCTTTTAAAATTAACTCAGTTCATGACAGTTTAATCATGACCGCCCTTACAGTCAGTAACAACACTTTTCGGATGGACGGGGCGATCGGACGTAAGGTCATGTGACTATCAAAATTTGCGGGTTGAAAAACCGAATCTGTTTACTTTAGGGGTAACTCTCTCGTGCCACCGGGTTTATGCTTTAGAGGGTTGGTTTAAGGGCGACATACGTTAGGGAAACCACAGTCCTTTCAGGCATTACTTTAAAATAATGTAATGTAACGTGACAATCAATTCTTTCTTTTTCACAGTATTTTAGCACCCAGCCATTCCCTAGTATAGTGACAATGCATTGCGTTTACTTACAAGTTATACGCTTCCGTGCTCTTGTTGGACCTAGGCCACTTGTTTGATTGGTTATTTAGTTTATTTTACTCACATAAAATCATAAACTGAGAAAACAAAACGTTTATTTATTTCCTGCTCAAATACAGACAACATCTTTATCTACCGTACTATATAAGGTTTTAACTCAAGACCATCGTTGACCTTTACAATAAATACTGGGACACAGTCGCTGATTTTTAGAAGAATATTTAAAAAAGTTAATTTGATTTGCATTTTGTTGTTGTTTCTTTCTTTATCTCAACGATGCTAATCATTCCGTTCTTTTCCAAGAAAAATATCAATCATGAGTAGACAATTTTGAATAATTTCCACGACAAAACAGCTTTCAAAGTGCGTTCAAGAAAAATACCGTAATGTACTTCAAAAACAATTATAAAAGAAAGTTGGCGGAGAATGCGAATCCCTCAAGTTTTCAAAACGAAAAATATCCTATTACTCATAACATTTAACCCCCTGCACCCTTCCCATCACAATTAAAATTAAACTGTCCATTTATTCTCAAAAAAGACAAAAACAAGATATTCTGTCAACTACAATATACTCCCCCCTAGCTAGTAGGGGTTGTAATCTCGATTTCTCTTTCTCAGCCGGTCAAGTTGATCTGATAATACGCCAGTGAACTGGGCCTGTGGTTGTGGTTGGTCTTTCTTTTCTAAGGCGCGGAGAAGCTTTTCCGACAGGTCATTCAGCCTCACGCCACCGCTCTGCAGTTCTCGCGAAGCTGTCGGAGAGAAAAGCGGAAAGGTAACAAAAAACAATATCATAGTTTTGGCAATGTGTCGAATCAGTTGCGAAATTGCATGGTCGTGTAAAGGACAGGTGTGTCCTCAATTATTTTTAATCTTTGGATGAATTTCATTTAACATTTGGCTTTGCTTGTTCCGAATAAAATGCTTTTAATATTAAGATATTTTGGAGCTTGATAAATAGTTTACTGATTTGCACATCATGCATATCGTGGTTGCTAGCTATCACACATCACCATCGGAATTTCGGGATTTTGTTTCAATTTTTTGAGAGAAACGATCCATCAATTTCTTCACAACATAAACTTGAATCAAAGGTAAATTGCAATAAATTAAATCGGCCTGAGCCATGGAATACCACTCCTGCGGTCAGGCTTCAAGCTTACCACCACTACCACACCACTGTCATCAATAGCATCGTCTTGTGTTTGTCTTCCATGAAAAACTTGACATTGGGAAGTTTCACCTCAAAGTTGAAACCCTCAGTTTGTTTCTTTTTTCTTGGGTAAATAGTGTTGGGTTTATTAAGTTTAGTGGGGGCACTGACCAATGAAATTAAGAAATGAAAAACGAAATGAATTCTGATAGTTTTAGTCAAATGGCGTCATCGTGAAGATGGCCTATTAACTCACCTATTTCGTACACAGCATTCTTCCAAGGCCCACCGCATCGCTCGTTTTCGGATCCAGCGATACACTGCGTCATGCATTGGCTTTCATCCTCAGCGGCTCCGTACCTTCCAAATTGCCGCGAGCACATACAAAACCTTGCGTCTTGGACCGCCGCATAAGGATAACCCTGTAAATGACACTCTTCCGTACATGATCGCACTCCAAGATATTCGCGTTTCATTGGAATCATCTTTTCGAAGTCACTTCGAAATCCATCACGGTAGCAACCTTTGTAACGCACGTCAAGAACTGTGCGCTTATCATCTGTGAAGAAAAGGGAGCCAGGTGATAACTGGTTACTGTACGTACTAATAGGTGTTTTAAAGGAGCCAAAATTGACGCTGGAACCAAAGAGATCCTCGAAATAATGGTTTCAGTATATAATTATAAATCTATTTAAAAATACTGTACTAATTTAACGTTACCTATAGGCGTTAATGTTTCTAGCTGTCGAAGCCCAGAAGGAAGATGGATTTGAGTCCCTTTTAGCCAAAAAAAGACTGAAAACTTATTATTCATCAATTATGCGTATAATATATCAATTTGTTATAGTTCCTTTAGGGACGGACCATTAGAAAACTTATGGGGGGGGTGGGGGGGCGGGCGAAGTACAAAGAAAATATTCGCGCAAGGGAAAATTAAATGAAAAAAAATTCATGTACGCCAATCAACCCTAAAAAATATTCATGTCATGGCCTAAAAAAAATTCATCCATGGAATCTGAAAACGAAAAAAAATTCCTGCCGCTCGAAAATTCCCCACCCCAACCATAACTTTTCTAATGGTCCGTCCCTTATGGATCGGAGTTTGATAAAAAATGACTAATAATACTCAGCCATAATTTCAGCTCAGTTTTAACCAAAAATGTGAAACACGCCCCTTGGCATGGCCTCCTTGAATTTGAAATTTAACCTCGCATGCGCAAATACCAGCTTCTCCAACTGAGCCTCTCAGTAGCTCATTGGATATAGTATCCATGCACGACAAGGTTTCACGATTTTCAAACACGCTTGCGTGACAAACATCACTTTACACATCAATCAAGTATTTCTTAAACATTTTTATATATACAAGTACCTTGCGAGGTTATACATGCGTGAGCATTACACTCTCTACAGATGCAAGTTTTGCTTTACTGCTTTTTTTATAATGATTATTAGGAGGAGTTCTACACGGATCTCTCCTTTGTCCTCGGCTTTTTAAATATGTATTTCAGTATGATTTAATGAATTCGAGCTCCACTGTACCCTGCGAGCAGAGGCCCTTCGATCTTCTTAGATAAGTCGGGAAGAGGAAGGGACCTCTGCCAGCCGCCTTGACTTTCCCTGTTGAACATGCGCTAAATTCAAATGTAACCGAGCCTTGCTCGGCCTCGCTTCCATTAACAATTAAATATTAATTTTTGACACAGTCTCTTCCTCTTCGCGACTTATCTAGGAAGATCGAAGGGCCTCTGCTCGCAAGGTAGCTCCACTGATAAGCTCAGTATCTTATCTGTTCGAGGATGAGACAAATTTATTTTGCGGCTTAGGAAACGATATTAAAAAAAATTGTCTACTAAAAGGCGAACATCTCTTCTCTCAGAATTTCGCTCAAGTCTGTGTCAGATAGTACAGGTAGCGATAAAATAGGCAATTCAAAATAGAGCTATTCGTAATTTGTAAACTCACCTTGTTTGCAGTGTTCACAGGTCGCCAGACATAAAGTTTCTGCACAGCGTGTTTTGCATTTACCCTCTCTTTTCCATGTTTCACAGATCCCACATTCAGCACTCAAAACATCACCGCAGAATACTAAAAGGAAAAACAATACTTAAGATAGTAAGATGCCTTTAACCCTTTAAATCCTAAGATCAAATTTTGAGTTCTCATTTGTTGCCCCTATTCATTTCCTACAGGAGTAGTGGGGAGAAGGTGATAAATCATCAAGCAAATTCATCTTGTGTGATCATGTCCGTAATTCTCACGACCACTCTATTTTACGAAGCATAAATATTACAAGGAGAAATTTGATGCTGATCACTCTTAGGGTTTAAAGTGTTAAATCAGTATAAATAGACGTCCTACAAATACATCTGAAAATATGTCACGCAATAGTTTTTTGATTCAAATTCTGCGCGCTCGTTTGCAGTGGTAGCGAATGTTGTAGCGTATGTTGTAATGAACTTTTTTTGACAATTTTACCTGAGGAGTGCCGCACATGCCGTGTGATACGAAACTAAATAGTAATAAATATGCCAAGTGAGATCTCACGTTGATACCAGACAACCTTGATCATCTAAAAATATATATATTATTGAACGAGTTTAGTGTGTAGCATCGTGGAATATTTTTGCGAGTCATGCAGCTGTATTTGATAATTTGATATTTTGTACATGGTAAAAAACGATGGTAATATCGCATAGTCTATAAAATAGCATGCGCAATGTTTATCGTATGACTGTTTGACATCGTCGGATTCGAAAACCTTGTATTCGCTGCCCAATTGTCAGGGGCACCCAACGACAATTTTCGGGAAAATATCTGTTCGGAAGACGATTTGAGATCTAGAATTTTCGGAACATTTGTTGTAAAATTTCTTGCTTGCCTGCCTCTCCTAGGATTTTCGAACATCAAAAAAATGGTAAAATTGCCCATTTTCAACGGATTTTTACCCTAAAAAAGGTCACCTAGAATTTTCAGGAGCCTTTTTTCTGGCTGAAATTTTCGAACAGGTAACTTTTGATCCCTATAATTTTCGGATCACTAGACTTTCAGCTACGAAATCCGAACAGATGAAAAATTTATAGGGGATAAAAGTATGCCCGTATCCACCGTTTAAATACTAAAACACGTTTAACAATGCTATGTTTAAGTGGTTCTGAACTATATTCTCGTTGGGTGCCCCTGAATTGTGAACGACAAGCTCGCGCTTTTAAAACTCTCTAGCTTAGGGACCGGTTGCGAAAAATTGTGTGTTATGGAGTCCAAACGCCGTTATGTGCCTGTGGACGGAAAGCTAAAACGGAGAAGAATGTCTGTTTGCAATTTAAATACTTGGAAACGTGAGAATGTCGGACCTAGAAAGAGCGTTTTTACAGCTCTCTAGACTGGGAACCGTTTTCGAAAACTTGTGTTTTTTGGAGCCAAAACGCCGTTAAGTACCTGTGGACGTAAAGCCAGCTAAAACGGAGAAAAATTGTTTTCGTAAATATTCGCATACGTGAGGATGCAAGTCCAAGTAAGAGGGCTTTGTTATGAAAAGAAACAGGGGATAGGAAGCTAGAGGGCTAACTGTTGACTGGAATACTTTAAACTAACTTTATACCCAGCTTATTTCGCTGCCACCTAATCCTGATCCTTTAATGTGTAATTAATCTTTTTGATTCACTATTATTACCGATGATTTCATGCAGACTATTGTAATTTTAAATGCTACCACGGCAACCGAGGTGAATGCATTTGTCTTTATTGATTAAGCTTTTGACATTGACATGAACTCGGTTACATTCATTGGCTTATGAAGGCTTTAATATCAGTTTATATCAGTGATATATATACGGTGTTTACATCAGTCTTGTACCACTAACATTGTTTCATTGGCGGATCCAGACCTTCGGATAAGGGGCGGGGGGGGGAAGGGGAAGTTTTGGGGCAGTCATCCAGAACCTGAGAAAAGAGAGAGGGGGCAGTCTCCAAAAAATTTTTTTTCGACCCTTACGGCCTCAGTTTTGTCTAAAAATAAGGGGAGGGGCGGGCCCCTCGGGCCCCTCCCCCGGAACCACCACTGTCTTTAACCTGTACCACATTGCAATCAGTCCTGTCCAGAACAGCTCCCCGTGTTTGTAGAATAAATGTTAAGCTATTTCATGTACCTAAAAGAGTTATGAATGGGTACTCCAAAGGGTAAACGGTACTCCAGTTGTGTTATATCGTTTAGTAGGTGTGGTATAACTGCATGTAATACGTCTGAGCGTCGGATTCTCAAATGTGACCATCAATAATTGCGCGCCAAAAAGCAATTTTTTACGCTTGGCTGTGACGAACCTTTCGGAAATATTAATTCAACTCTTTGGATGAAATCTTGCGCGCCATGTTAAAATAAGTCCCCAAGAGCTTAAGCACATTGTTTCATTTTCGAGCATTGAAGTAATTGAAGTAAAGTACATAAAAACGGATTTTTTCAGATAAAATAAGAATTAGAAAAACGATACAGTAGAGAAAAAGGACACTAGCTTAAGTAGAAATTACAAATTGAATAAAATCACCCCAATATAGCCTTTTAGAGAATTATCTTTTACTGTATAAAAACCATTAACCTGTGCACGTTGCTATTACAGTGTATACCACTATATGTTTTGAAGTTAATTGAATTGCCTGTTGAAGGGAGACCCGGGGCATTTTAGTAGAAAAAAAACTGAACGTGAAGGTGCAGCAATTTAACGGGGGAAATAAAAGCATAATGTACAAAATTCTATCTACATCGAGGATGTTGAGTCAGTCAGACTGTACGGGCCCAATTCCGTTTCACCCTCCTTCCAGCGATGCACTTAATCACACCCCTAGCAGCTAACAACTGTTATCTCTTACGTATCGGGCTGAAATTTCGCTGATGACTCAAATTTTGGAAATGAAGAGGGGAATGGTCAATGGTCGGCCGTTAGCTTTTATGTCAAGACTCTTGACAGAAAAGACTCCAAAAACATCTCGCTATTTCTTTTTGTTTTCAGCACTGCCCTTTAATTTTAACGGGAGATCTTTTTCTGCCAAAGTTTTCAGTTAGTTCTTTCCGCGGCATTCCGTTTTTGACCGAAATTTTCGAGAATTTCGGTTGGGCTTATTTTTCTCCTTGAGTATGGCAATAAGGCTAGAGTTACAGCCGATAGAGGATTAATTGAGATAAAGGAGATTTGCGCTTTTTAAAGTTGGGTGATATTCCAGTCCTTTGAAACCAGTATCAAATGGCAGTCTACATAATCATCTCTCAAATTAACAATATCTTGTACTCTCTCGATTGGCAAGAAGTATTAAATTCAATGTCTCCTTTTCATCTTTTATGTTTCTTTTTTGTTTCTTGCTATTTCTTTTTGTTTTCTATTAAGATGGGAGGAAATATAGTAACACTATTAAAAAAAGTTTTAAATCTTGAGTGTAAGGAGCATTTCACTTTTATATTTTCTTCTATATAACTGTCAACTGCTGCTCCAGTTTAAGAGCGGATGTCAGTAAATATCGACCAGAGGTATACAAAAGTGAAAAATCAAAAATTCCCAAAAAAATTCACAAAGTAGCACTAGGTAAGCTATTAACATAAATGTAATTTTTACTTCGATCCGATAATTATTTTCCACGTACGGGGGGGTTATTGGTTTCGCGGCTCTCGGACCGGGTTTTCCAGGCCCGGGACCGTGTGTCACAAAAAAATCGTTTTAAAATTCAAATCCATTGTAATGTGGACAACAAATAACTTATTCAGAAGAGTACTTAATTGCACACATTCTAAGTGGTGATTTACTCAGTTTGAACGAAAGTCTAATATTTTGGAGATTTTTCATTATTTTCAATATTTTGAACGTTTTCGTTCAATGAAAAAATGGCAAATTTCAAAGCCCAAAATCGTCGACTGGTACCTCGATTTCAGTAACGAGTCTTATACCACGTTAAAGAGCGTTATCTCTTCTTTCAAAATCTGTTTTCAAAACTACGGGCAACTTAAAAGAAAATTTTTGAGGCCTAAAAATAGAAGTAGTAGTTTTCTCAAATTTGAGCTTTCCAGACGCGGCGGGCCGACGCTAAAAACTTGAAAAAATACAGTAAGAAATCAGTTTGAGCAATAGTGGTTTCATGTTATCAGCTTTCAGAAACCAAGACGTGTTTATACAGCGATCTGATATAAATTAATGCCGTTTGCTATCAAGAAAGGCAGATTTAAGCTGTCAACTCCTGCCAAGTGCACCAGTCACGTGAAGTTGTCAAAGGGAGGGCAAAGCACTAATATTAAAAAGTCTTTAAATTCAAAACGTTTTACGTCCATGAAATCAGATTTTAGCGTACAAAACAATGTTGTGAATGTCCGTTGTTCGTACCTTAGCATGGTGTTTCCATATATTGGAAATGTCAAGTATCCACACGGGAGAAGATACTAAACAACAACGTTTCAAATCCAAGCGCCGAAAGATCGTAAACGGCAAAGATTGCGTTACATTTCACAGAACGACCCCTTACCACTGTTGTCACTCCTCTTTTCGAAGCTACGAGGAGTTTTCATTCCGTCATGAGTGATTCTTGATCAGCGTTTCCTTGAAAGTACGACCCCGGACAGGTGATAACTGAGGACGTTTCGTCAAGACTCCTGTTGTTCAGTTTCAGGCTTTAGCAGGTGCGTAGTCAGGATTTTTCCGGAGGTACGCCCAACTTTTTCTACATCTTCTTCCCCCCCTCCCCCCGCCCCCACCCCAAATCTCAACATTTTTCTAAGGTGCCTTTATTAAAGGTGAGGTTAACGGTTGTAAGCAAAAGCATTTTTGCTGTTTATTAAATGACCCAACCTCTAAAATTCTTTAATTCTGTTGGCTTGTTATGTTCATTGACGTCAACCGTTTATCACTAATTCAGCTATTAAAAATCGAGCTTGTAGTACCTCCGACTTTAGTTTACAAATGACTCCTTTTACCCCTTTTTGTCACATTATTTTTGACCGACAAAAGCACCACACATTGACATAATGGTGCCCTACTTCGTCTACTCCGAAGACAGGTCGTGGAGAAAACAACGCGTTCACGCTTGACATCATCAAGCTTGCTATATAAATAAATCATCCAAGATTCGGTTCTCCAATTAATGTCGTCGCTTCTCTGGAAACCGATTTTTTTAGTTATGTTTATTTCATTCTATTTTTTTTCCTCAACGTTTTCGGGTACGCACGTGCAAAGCGTGTGTACAAGTAGCTACGGCCCTGTTTAGTCTCCTTAGCCCTGAGCGTTCCTCTCTTGCGGTTTTCGCGGGAGTTCAGGATGTGGTCCAACCAGTATTTCACGTCTCTTTTAAGGTGGCTGAACACCGTTTTGCGAGCAGTCAGCGGCAACTCGCGTGACGGCGGGTGTTTTAAATTAGACAAACAAACATGGCGGCGAAAAAGCAATGGTACACAGAAGACGATTTCACAAAATTTACTCATTAAAATTTTGTGATACTTTGCAGAATTTTTACTTTTATCGTATTTTAAATAATAAGAACTTTAAAATGGAATTTGACGGACGAATTTTGTGACGCATTTAATAATTACAGTACCATTATATTATTGATTATCTAAAAACCCGTCTGTTAAAATTTGGTCAAACAAGTTTCAAATGGTAATGATTAATTATAATAAGCTGTGTGTAAGTTTATAGGAAAATCTAATGAGCGAATTTTAAGTAAACTGAGCAACAGTGAAAATTTAAAGTTGTATTCAGTCGTTCATGTTTCCATGTAAACTGCGAAAAGGTCAAATTTTACCTGTCAATCAAAATCTTTCATCAGCATATTTTTCAATTGTCAAGTTTCAGCTTGTGAGCTGCAACCTTTTTCTTGCCATGATTTGACAAATGACATATTCACAAACTGCCTAAACTGTGTTCAGCCACCTTAAATGAGAGGCAGCACTTCTTGATTAACGTTTCGTTATCAGACAGCGCTTAGGCTCTTAGCCTTTCATTTAATTTTGATCAAGTTTTTATCATTTAGTTACTCAGTATACGTTCGATCCTGTCCTTGTAAACTTATACTTCTATACTTTAAGGGAGCTTATAATTAATTCCCATATTAATTAATTGTTCGTTCAGTGTCGTCCAAAAGACCCAGTTTTTTGGCATTTTTTAACAAAGCAAGAAAAAGAAACGACAAGGTTTATTTTTTTTAGACTTAGATTGATGATTCTTTTAATCTAAAAAATTAGCATTATAACATCATTTCGAGGCATAAAACGTTCGGTTGTGTATCCTCTTTGCTTTTTACCCTTTTTTGGCCTTTTTTTCATGAAACTGACCATCAAATTTTCCGCCATATTGAGTTTGTTTCGATTTGGTGACCATGTCTTGTTGTTTTCAGTCTCCACGGCAATGATGCTGGTGTTTCAGGCCTCCCGTTCTCAGATTTCTTGTTTTTTTTTTTTTCACCCCACCGACCGACCCACCCAAAACCAGGAAACCTATTTGACGCTAAGCGAACGAAAAGGGGACGACTTAAGCCTTATGGTGTCTTTTTGGGCTTCCTCACCACATTGCTTCTGCGTGTTTCTGTATAGTTGTCTTTTGCTTTGTTTTGTTGTTTTTTGTCGGTAAAATAAACTGAAACTGTACAAAGACCCTTCATATTCCCTTTGGAGGTTTTCGAACGCGCATAAAAAAAATGAAAAACGCGATGATTTATTGACCGCAAGGGCAATGGGGTGGGGTTAGGGCTCGTTACTGCACTCCGGTTCACTCGTACGCTGTCAAATGGTCCGGAAATACAAAATGAAAAATGACTGTGGACAGACTATTCACGTCTAGACATCAAGCATCTTTTAAGATGGGACTTATCGCCTCTCCCTGTTCATGGAGTTGATTCAAGGTGTTGACGTTAATTTCGTGATGCCCTGCATGTTGCCAGGACATGTTTCAAAAGGGCCTTTCCAAAGGTACGGAGTCCGCCGTCACCTTGTCAACCGTGCGAGAAATGATGTACTTCACAAAAACAAAGAGAGGTTATTTTCGATTTGCCCCGTCCTCTACCCCCGAAAGTCCCCGACAGGACCGCCTCAAAGTACTCCCCATGTGGTTGCGCGGGGGATTGTAACAGGTCTACCTAATTGCACCGTGCATCAATGACAGTTTAGCTCAATCAGAAGCCCCTTTTCCCTGGCTAGTTCAAGGTGTGTGCACCTCCTTTAAGCTGTTGTTTTCGGTTCTTACTGAAATTTTTGATCTTGAGGAAATTCACAACGACAGGAGCAGGTTATGGGCTTTTTTCCTAGCCCTAATCCTACATCACGGGAAATCCCTCAGGTTAGGCAAGAATTCGATAATCCTTCCATAATCATCCATTTTTTCACCGCGTGAACTGGGTATTTTTAGCTTATTTCGAGGAAATACTTTTTGCTTCAAATCCAGGGTGGGCTTTTAAACACATTTTTTAAGCCAAATGGTTTTTGCGAGAATCTGCTTACCCGAACTTTTCGCATAAAAAACGACAAATACCCGAAAAACGCTCATGTTGTTGGTGGTGGTGGTGGCATATTTCCAATAAATTCAGCTCAATGTCTCGTGAAGAACAGTTCAGATCCAGATCCATGCCGCGCGCCTCTCGAGGCAAGCGTTCCGTCGAAATGCGAGCCCAAAAACAGGTGGTAAGCGGTCAATCTGTGAAAAGTAACGCAATCTCCGTCGTTTGAGAGCAGCCGAAGATGCTCTTGCCGATGCTGTCCTTGATGTTTTTTATTTCCAGTATCTAGGAAACCCATGCTAAGGTATGAAACATACACTCGTAGGCATTGTTCTGTCCGCTAAAGTCTAATTCCTGGACGCAGAAACGTTGTGCTTTTTGAAGTTTATTATTGTGCTTTGCCCTTTGACAACCTTACGTCACTCGTGCGTTTGGTAGCAGAAGATGGCTAAACTCTGCTTTTCTTGTTGGAAAACGGCTTTAAATTTTATCAGATCACTCGATAAACACGTGGTGGTTTCTGATAGCTGATAAAGTTAAATCACTGTTGCTTAAACTGATTTCTTATTGCATTTTTCTGAGTTTTTAGCATCGACCCGCTGAGTCTGGAAAGCTCAAATTTCAGAAAAGTACTACTTGTATTTTTGGGCCTCAAACATTTTCTTTTAAGTTGCCCGTAGTTTTGAAAACAGATTTTGAAAGAAGAGATAACGCTCTTTAACGTGGTATAAGACTCGTTACTGAAATCGAGGTACCAGTCGACGATTTTGGGCTTTGAAATTTGCCATTTTTTCATTGAACGAAAACGTTCAAAATATTGAAAATAATGAAAAATCTCCAAAATATTAGACTTTCGTTCAAACTGAGTAAATCACCACTTAGAATGTGTGCAATTAAGTACTCTTCTGAATAAGTTATTTGTTGTCCACATTACAATGGATTTGAATTTTAAAACGATTTTTTTGCGACACATGGTCTCGGGCCTGGAAAACCCGGTCCGAGAGCCGCGAAACCAATAACCCCCCCGTACGTGGAAAATAATTATCGGATCGAAGTAAAAATTACATTTATGTTAATAGCTTACCTAGTGCTACTTTGTGAATTTTTTTGAGAATTTTTGATTTTTCACTTTTGTATACCTCTGGTCGATATTTACTGACATCCGCTCTTAAAAGACGTAGAAGTCAAAATGTAAGTGAAAACAGTTTTTTATCACTCAAATATTGCTGATATAATCTTGGTTTTGAAACCTTAAATTTGTTTACAGCTTTACAATTTCTTATTCATCAAAAAGGGGCCGGTGAAAACACTATCTCCTTTAGAGAATCAGTTTCTGATATTTCAGTGTGTAATCTTCAATTCTCGCTAGTACGTTTTTCAAACAAAATATTTGACTTACATTGTTCATTCTGATCTGCAGACGACACGGCACAAATCCCAAGCGCCACGAGACAAAAGAAGAAACAAAACATTTCCTTCTTCAAGTTGTTTTAACCTCTGCAAAACGTTTTTCTTTTAAATCAGAACGTTCTCCCCGACATCAATCGTTGGCAGGGCTTTTAGAAGCTTTGACGCAAGTTTAGAATTGTAAAGAAAAACATTTTAGCTTCCTACGTAAATTACGTCTGGTACCAAGTAACAAAGTGATATTTGAAAAGAATTTTAATTGTAGTATCTCACAGGCCCAAAATTAGGCGGACATCTTTGTTGTTGTAAATACCCTTTTTTTTCAATTAATTTGTAAACAAAAAGATTTTCCAGGCGCGCTAAAAACACTTAATTCTTCATAACATCTTGACTTGAACGAATGTCAAATTAAAAATGGGCCATTAATACTCAGATACAAAACTGAAAATGTTTGTTCTCAGCTTTCTGTCAAGTACTGATCGATGTCTATTTTTGATACGGTCAGCAGTGTCATAGAAGGAAGCTTTCTTGACGACTCAGTACGAACCCATCAATTGCAAAAAGGACCTCTGCTGTCTTTCTAAATAAAGTAAGAAGAACAAGGTTATGTTTTGAAATCATACTAACCTATGGAGGTTTAATTACAAACGTCTGAGGGATCCTTAAGAAAGTGATTAGACAAAGTGAGACCGGCATTACCCTGTTTTTGTTAATTCGGTTAAATTGAAAATTATACATTAAGATTCAATTTTTGATTAAGAAATCAGATATGAGCATTTTTTGAAAAATATTGAAGTTGAATGATGAAGAAAAGGTCCATCAGGTGTCTTGAAATCAAACTTTTTCTATGCGGCTTTTGGCGGTATTTCAATTTGCGTACACACTGATTTCGAATCAGATACGAACTGTACTCATTTCCTGTCCCAATTTGGTAGTCAGAGAGGCGATTGTTTTGACAAAGATTATTATTTCTTAACACTTTTCCTAAACTCAACGAATCCATCTGTGGAACGCACCCGTGTCCAATTCACGGTTAACTGACCTCAATTTTTCTGGTAGTCTACATATTGGAAACGTTCACTCGAACTGGCAAAGAACTTCATTTAAAATGGGTCCATACTTAAGTTTACGAGGATTCATTTTGTTTTAAGTCTGATTTTTTCTGTCGAAAAAAAGTTTTGAGTATGATCTCCATCTGAGCATATAATATCATTTGGAAGAAGGAGAATTCTGACACCAAAAAACCCAGAAAAAATCGCTCAGGCTCTATGTGAGAAATGAACACACGACCCTCCGAGTTCTAGTTCGGATGTTCTAACCACTGAGCTACTGGAAGTTTTATGCATCAGTCAATTCCACCTGCGCCCAGGCCCCCCCCCCCGGGCTACTGCGGGGCATTTGCACGCCTTGTCAGTCCCGGGTGTGGGGCATTTGCAAATTTTGCACTGCCCGGGGGGCCGGGCATTTGCCAACCCCGGGGCCATTCCCGAGGTTTTGACACGCACGCGGTTTCCTATCAGAATATGACTACACAGAAGGTTTTACTGGAAAAAAAAGTAGATTGGCTCATCTATCAACGACCCTCAAGGACATGAATAAATTGAAGAGGGTTGTAAAGGCATGTTCTCGATTTTATGCATGCGTTGCTTATCAAGCCAGAATTACATAGCGAAATTGGAGCTATCGATGTGAATCAACGTTTTTTGGTCATTGTATCAAATTTCTGTTCATATTATTTGAAGAAAATCCTTTCACATTTATAAAACTATTCATAACATATAACCTTAACAGTGCTCTATTAATTCTAATGTCAATAATTTTATATCAATACTAAAACCATACACTGGTGCATGTCGTCGCGGCGTGAAGTCTTAGTTAGAATCCTAGCGCTATTACAAAGGAAGAGGTTAACTGAAACAAAACGTCGCACATTAAAGTGCTTAAAATGGCACTATTCGACTGTGCGATCAATGAAAAACGTTGCAGCGTTGACGGAGGACGGGGCATTTGCCCTCTTTTTCCGTCCCCACCCCGGGGGGATTTGACAACTCAAGAGTCCCCACCCCCGGGAATTTGCCATCCAAGGCAAAAAAAATGTTAAAGCCCGGGGGTCAGCCCAGGGGGTGCTGGGCGAAGGTGGAATTGACTGGTGCATTATGGAGAGTGGGGTTGACAAAGAGTAAAAGTTGTAAGAGACTTGTCGACGTCTTACTTTTTGAAGGGTGAAGATAGTTTTTTTTTTCTGTAGCTTTATAGCTATTTTATTGCATTGAATTTTAGAGACGAATTGCCTTGTCGCTTGTTTTTTCGTTATTTTGTATTAGGGGTCAGCTTACGATCCGGCAACAACGAAGCCAATTGAAAAACTGACCTTCAGTCCTTTAAAACTCTTGCTGAGCAAAGTGTAGCATCATAGGTTGTGCGCTATCTGATTATAATCAATTGACTGTATTCTTTATTTCGTAACGCTAGTTTACGTCACTGCGTGGCGTTTACTTACAGGTTGCGTAGATTATATATATATTACGTACTGAATTACGGGACTGGAACAAATAATTAAAAACAGTTTTTTGAGTAGATTGAGAGCTACGTATTATAATTCTGTTAGAGCCAAGAATTAACCGCAGAATCATTGTGTTTCTTTCTGGAAAGTCTAAGTTATTGATGTAAAGCTATAGTTTAGAACGGAATCAACATTGAATGAACCGTGAGAGAGAATTAACGCATTTAGTGGAATTGAAAGATACAGTCCATACAGTTGATTTTAAACTAGCGCTAGGAAGTATTCCCTTCAGGTACTGTAAGTATGACGGCAAATAAATACACAAAAAAACTCTGATGTGCGCTTGCAGGGTCGTTGTAATCTCGTATCCAGATTTCACTGTTTTACACTGGCCGTTGGAGATCTGGGTACGAGATTAGGGTTGTTGTTGTCTTGCTCACTAATTATAAGTTATTGCCTTGTTAAGTAACGATCCAGGTAAGAAGGGAAGCAATTTCTTTTGTTGTGGCGCAATACGCTTTCCTCACATAGAAATGTTTTCATTTTTACGCAGAGAGAGCATAAATCTACACAAAGGCTGTTTACGAAAGAAAATGTATTTAAACTCCACTTTTAAAGGGTGTATTTTTGTGTTAAAACATTTCGACCAATCACAAGAGTTGCAAACAATGGCCAAGAAATGTTCACAATTTTACATGATCCGCACATACGATTTCTGTGTTACTTAGACTCAGACGAGATTTTGTTATAAGGAAGTTGGATAGAAAAAAAGGGATTAATATACATGCTGCTTTGAGAAGATTTCGTAAAATTTGATGTTTAAACCAATCAGAACCTTAGTAGAGACAATAGTAAAGTTAGCACCTTTTTGCATTCCGACGTGTTCACTACGTTTTGGTCCTTTCCTTCTTATCTGGACCATTACTTAATGTCACATCCCGCTTACGGTCGCCTTTGGATCTTCGTTAAGGGTCCCTATTCTTGCAAAAATTTAATAGAGGAAATCTTTAATTTTTCACAGGTGATGTATAATCTTTTTGATGAAGCTAGTTCCTTTTTTTTCAGTTTCTCATATTTGTTTTACTACCGTGTATTTATTGCTGCTATCCAATTAGTTACGTCGTGTGTCATCGATTGCGGACAGCGAACTTTTGCCGAAAATATATTGAGTGACAAAGTGCTCCTCGATCCTCGTAGCAGCCTGCGTGGTAGATAAGGACCTGGAATCGAGTTGTGCGATTGCAAATACTCACGGGTTTCCGTCTGTTCAGTCTCGTCGACATTAAAACGTGTTCTTATTATAAGCAGTGTCTCTGTCAGTCATTCTGTAAGCGGCCCAGCGTACAATTCACTAGATTAAGCTTCTACTGAGGACAGAGTAAAAGGTAAAAGTCGTAGAGGTAGGCTTATGAACAGTTGTTTGAAATCTGGTTATCTTACTTTGCTGTACTACTGACTACTTCACCAATGATGCTCGTATCAAGAAATGGTCTATTGTACCGACCTGAATTTGCCCATCAAACTTAAAGCGATAGTTATTTTGTTCCAGACCGACCCGAAGCTTGTTTGAATAATCAGAAACAAATATTTAGTTACTTCATTAACATACCTTGCTTCACATCTATGTTGAATTCGCAGGTTACACCATGTACAACATTTACGTTACAAATCAAGCTGACGAGAACGTGTACTTCCGCCTACGAAGGGAAACAATCAGAGTGTGGGAAACTGCAAACGTCTTTGTCAGTCGAGTAGAACAATTGTCCAAGGGCGAGCAAGAGTCTCAGGCAAACTCCAGCAGTTTAAATTCGTACTTAATAAGCATACATTTTTGTATCATTCCTCCACAAACGACCATGTCTTTTACCATTGGACCCGTAGATGATTCATCCGCAATGTGGGCTTCTCTCTATGCGCGATCCAAGTTGTGGATTATGGACTATAAAGTTGATTATGTCAACTTTGGATGCTTGTTTGTAAAACAGACGAGCAGTTTGGGAGCTTTCTATCTTATCCAGGCGAATCCTGAGCCAGTTTGGATTTCAGCCAAGAAGGGAGACGCAGTCCCCGACGGGATCGTTAAAACTGGCAGCAGTGCGACGAACGGCTTTGAGTACTATGTTGGTCGTTCAATCCTAGCTATACCATGCCCTGTTGCTTCCATGAATGGTCAATGTAGCTTCTGGATTCCAGGAGGAAGCAAAAACGAGGAAAGTGGCGAGCTGTTGTGTGACACAGGTCATCAATGGATTCGAGCATCAAGAGGCGACCCTATACCACCTAATTCTGTAATCGTCGGAGTTAGAGGGGCTGAAGGATCGGTTTTTCTCGGAAGGGTGGGAAGCGAGCCGTGCTCCATCATCACGGAAAATGGAAAAATCAAAGATTTCTGTTGCTTTCCACTGGGGCAGGAAACGCGAGTTGAAAATGGTGAGGTGATTGTGCTGACCAACGGTATATTGAGTTTGAAGTGAATAACCTAACTCGAGGACATCAACTGAAGATGTACCGTCCACTTTTTTTTCCACGAAAAATCAAAGGTAGAATTTTGGAACATAAAAAATAAATCCGTGAATTAGATAACCTGTTTATAGCAAAGCGAGCCAGTTAAGACATTCCGTTAGATCGATGCTCATTTTTAGTAGATACTAGCGCCGGTTTCTGCTCTTCTTCCTTGGTATGTGTATGGACTGATAAACACCTTTCCAAACAAGGCTAGATGATCAATTTTTATTAATGCATGATGATTTACAACCAAATTTCTGACAGGGTAACGCACTAGGAAAAGCAGTTTGTGATTAAGTGTGATGCAAAGAAAAAACAAGAAAACTGTGATCCTAGCATTTTTAATGCCTCGAAATTACTTATTTCATTACATAAGGACTGTCGTGACTTAACTTGACAGTTTTTAAATGTAGCATTTCTTAGAAAAACAGGACGTAATGATACCCTAACGAGAAAAAAACAACAATGATACAGACGGAACTAATCTTGTCAATCTTAACAGACATTATAAAAATATTGCAAACCCAATTATTGCGCATCTTATCTGAAATACACTAAATAGGTGAAGGTATTCCATATTGTGACTTCTATACTTGTGCCATTCAGTGATCCAAAAAAAATTAAAATAAAATAATAATATGCGAGTCTTGACCTTATCATTTGTAATAATACACACGTCTTAGCCAGTAGTAGTGCGAGAATTTTATACCTGTTGTTTAGACCCTGATTATTAATTACATTCTTTTAAAGATCTATTTTTTAGTTTATTGTGCGTTTAAGCTCTTACTCCCCTTAAAATTATTATCTCTGCGCTCCAAAGCTAATGCCCCTACCTTTCCTCCCCGGGAACATAATAAACAGTCACAGAGGCTTGTTCACATCAGGGACCGGGTAGCTTTTGCGCCGCCACGAAAATCATACTACAAAGGCCTTCTGTTCACAGACAAGAACGGTTGTGGCGCCGGGGCGCCATTTCTGTAACAGAGTGAAGCTGCACCGCGCAGATATGGAACTTCAGTGGAGCGTCACATATCGGATATGGGTTTTGTGCCACTATTTCGTGCTTTGTGGACACCTAGCTATTCGGCCCGTTTCGAAAGTAAATAAGTAGGAGCGAGGACGGAAGTTAACATTCATAAGTTTGGTCTGGAGTTTAGCGCACCAAACCCTTTCGGCCTTCAGGGCGGAAAAACGTAATGAGCATGCGTGAACTTTTTTGCTAAGATCCCCTGGCCAGGTTTGAAAAAATGGCGGGATTTCAAATATTTCTTTTTTTGCCTAGAAATAAAATGTTTCCATTCATAACCTGGAAAGTGCAAGCAATTTGTCTTCAGAAGTTGCAAGTTGTGGTTATAACCTTCTCATTATTTAATTTTCTCGAAGAATACCTCATAGTGAAACGGACTTTAACGACCTTAATTTCCTTGCATTGTACTGGAAATGTACATACGTAGGTTTGATTTTTTCAAGATGCATCAGCAAATTGTGTTCATGTAAGGAAGTTTCTGGATATCGGAGCCCCACTGTGGACACAAAAATAAAATATCTTTGTACAGTGATTTGTTCAAAAAAGCCAATCACTGACCAAACCAACTGTATTTTGAAACTGTTTGAAAAGTAGTTAAAATGAATTTGAATGGTTTAAAAAGTATTTTACCTCAATTTGGGGTAGTTTATTATATTTTACAAACAAAACAAAAGCAAACGAACAAACAAACAAACAAAAAACAAAACAAAACAGTCACAGGAGTTTAAAATGTATTTGGGATCTATTTGAATATAATATTCTTGTATTTGAAACATATTTTGTATTAAAACTATATTTTAAGCAGACACTTAAACCATATTTTAGAACAAGAGTACTGACGAGTACTCAAACCTTTTTCAAATACCGGATCTTAACTGTGATTTAAAAAGAATAACGTTTTATCAGGGATTTAAGATGTAGTTTTTACAAGTAAAATGCAAAACAGGATTTAACTAGACTGTTTAATTAGCAATTAATGAATGAGGCTGAGTAGGATATGAAGAATTACGCAGATCGAGGAGGGTGTTATCCACCGAGGCCGAAGGCATTTGAAATGGAAACCTGTTTTCAAACATAGTTTAAACTGGCCGTTTTTAGGTTAACCGGAAGACTCGATGGTAAAAAAGGGATTAAAGAACTGAGAAAATTTCAAACAAAACGTATCAATACTTTACTGAAAAAAAAAAAAGTCGGGAACTCATGTTTCGCTGACGCTTATAAACTTAACACCGATCTTCGATCTAATAGATTTATTAGTATACTCAATAAGTGACAAAGTAACAATTACATGAAGTTAATTTCTAAGCCTTCATCGTGTCGCGAACTAGTGACTCAAAAGAAGCTGGCACATATTGTGGACTAGCCTGTTCCTAGCCCGTTCTAGGCTCTTAGATAGTGGGGAAAACGCGAAAGAAAAGGGCACGCGAAAATTTGGCGAGGCGGGAAAAAAGAAAAAGAAGGGAGAGAAAGCCTGTAATCATTTCTTTCGCGAACTTCTTCCGCCCACTTTTGGCCCGTTTGAGATAATTAAATGTCGGCTGTCAAACGGTTGAAATGTCAATGAGTTGGAATCTTTCTCAAATTTCATGCGAGAAATCTGACCAATCAGAGGGTATACCAGGAGCTGGTATACCGGAACTGGTCGTTCAAAGAAATGATTACAGGATCCGCCGCCCCTCCTCTCCCCAGTTTCCTCCGTTTTATTTTCGTGTTTGCACTTTCTAAATTCAGCGGAATATCTCGGAGCCTGGAACAACCTAACGTGTTCCAGGCTCCGAGATAGTTACACTGTTAACAGTCCTCTATTTTTCCGTAAGATCGTCGAGATGAAAAAGCGATGAAGAAGATGCCAGGCACGTTTAGCATGGATATTGCTTGTTTACAAACATCTCCTTTCAAAGCAGTGATTTTATTGAGTTTCTGGGCCATTCCTCCAAAAAAAAAAAAAACAACAACAACAAACTAAATTCGGCAAACATTCACTGGTGAAACATTTTCCTAATCGAAGTGCTAAGCATGGTCGCTTCACCTCTATTTTTCTCGCCCCCTCCCCTAGAGCTATAATCCCAGACGCTCGCCCCCCTCGGTACATAAAACGCGCTACATCTCGACGATCTCACGAAAAAATAGGGACCGTGAACAGTCTACGAGATAGTCGGGTTTGCTGCATGAATTGAGAAAGCGCAAACACGACATGTCACGCGCGACTGAAATCCCGACTTCGCGCGCTGCGGTGATGTGACATTAAGCACATGATAAGAAACAAACGGTCCTTTGTCCTTTGTTCATATGAAATCATTGCGCCCTGCGGTTGTGGTTGTACTGCAGTGAGGTAAGGTCAAGAAGGTCTTTCGCTTAATTTTGCTGTTTTTTAGGATCCACCAAAAGTATACTTAGTATACTGTCTGAACACGTAGATATTGCTTTTACCACGAATCAAAAATGGGATGACTTCCCAGCGACCAGTATGTACTTTGAATGGATCTGGTTGTCGGCAGTTCACGCGGCTAGCGAGCGTCTTGTCTTATGTGAGTATGATCTACATTGTTCCCTCTTTTTGCACGCTTTTTGCATAACATGTTTCTGAAACGTCATATGAGAAACAATGAAGGGTAGAAAACATTTATTTACTCCCGGCCGTATGGCAATTTTTTATTAGTTTTTACAGTGTTCCTCGCTCAGTCTCGCTGTTTCATCACACTTTACGTCACGTCACCTCTTTCATTCTCGCGTAAATTTGGCTTTGATTTTTTTGGAGGAATGGCCCAGAAACTCTAAAATCACTGCTTTGAAAGGAGATATTTGTAAACGAGCGATATCGATGAGCGGAGTTTCTTAATTAATAAATGGTAAAAGGCGTGAAATTCCTGTCACTCCTCCTGAACGCGAGCTGCAGTGATGTGTCATTACAGTCGCTTTATTTTTCTCGCTTCCTCCCATTGATAAAAGTTCATGAAATAAAATGAATACAAAACCGTAGACTGCAAAACAGTCCGCATTTTTGCGTATTCAAGTACGCGCGAGCAGTCAACCAAAAGGTGTGGAACGAGGCTGAAAACAGAGAGCGAGACTGGGGAGAGACTTTTTTTCTCTCTCGCCTCACAAGCCCTACGGGCGTGTGAGGCTTGCGCGGTTCGCGCGCATAAGACTCCTACGCCACGCGTTACCGATTTCTTTACTGATTTTGAGGGAAAACCCGTCTGTTTTGCAGTCTAACAAAACCGTCGAAAATTGCCCGGAAAAAGCAAGATTTAACTCAGCTATTTTCTTATGTACTTCTTTACAAGTCAGTAATTAATGTTCAGGCCTAGCCTGCCGTTTTATTTTCTCAATTCATGCAGCGGACCCGACTATCTCGTAGACTGTTCACAGTCCCCTATTTTTCCGTGAGATCGTCCAGATGTAGCGCGTTTTATTTACCGAGAGGGGCGGGCGTCCGGGATTATGGCCCTAGGGGGAGGGGGCGAGAAAAATAGAGGTGAAGCGAACATGCTTAGCGCTTCGATTAGGAACATGTTTCACCAGTGAATGCTTGCCTAGCCTGCAAGCGTCTTGATGATACTGGAGTAAAGTGAATATAATGGACAGTGTAAGTTACATGAATGTAGATTTCAGCAAATCAACGTAAAGGAATCGGCTAAGAGATAATTTTTGTTAAATCCTAGCTAGGACTGTGTGGAGAAATTTCGCTGACTTAAATAAGGTTGCAGAATAACACATTTTCATTGAGAAAACATAAGGCTCAAGGCTTTTATAACCTGCTGACAATGAAGAAGTGAATTTTCTTTACCAAAACAACCTACCTGAGGATCTTAAAAGCAAAAGATCAGTTGCAAGCTTTGCAGCCAAGCCATGATTCACCATTTCGCGATTTTTAATAACTGGTCTATGTGAGTGTCTTCATTCAAAGCAACTTGAACTCAGCAAATCATTCTTAGAAAATATAGAAAACTGCACTTATAGGTTTGCTTTGCTCGCTTCAGTCAAATCCAGCTCCAGCAGTTTACGGGCAAAGAGTCAATTGTTTTGAATTCAGTAGCAGCAGTTGTCGTTCTCTACTTCACAATTTCAGTTGCTTAGTACAGAAAGTTATTTCTTATAAAGAACAGAAACTTTCACAGTGCACCGGAAAACAAAACTACGTGATTAAAAAAAACAACAACAACAACAACAACAACAAAAAACAAAAACACTCTGACTATTATTACTTGAGCAGCAGAGAAATGATCAACATCCTCTCGAGTAAGCTTGCTGGTCTTTTAAGGAATTTTTAAGCGCACAAGTTTGTTCACTCGCACGCGTTTGCAATATGGTTCTTTGACTGAAGAGAAGGTTCTGCAAAGGTAATAAATCTGGGCATTTAGAAAAAGTAACTGTAACTATTAATAATAGAATACAAGCGGGTTTTAATTCAGTCACAAATTAATCGAATGCACAATCACAAAAATACTCGCCTCCTTGTAAATGTTCAAAACTTCCTATTCCACTTCAGACTGACGTAGAGATCCGTTTTTCCTTTAACATTAATTGCTCTGAATCCAAAGTAATTTTCAAGTGAAGAAAAAAAAAACAAAAAATAATATAGAATAAATGATGTAATAATAATGATAATGATAATAATAATAATAATAATAATAATAATTATAATAATATAGGCTTTGCAAGGAGCAAACGTTCGCACGTCGTGCATTTCATACAGTCTCAGTCAGAATTCTCTCAGTGACAAACAAATACAGTCAGAAAAGCCCGCCTTGAGCCTGCGATAAGAGATGCGCAGAAACGTGCGCGGAACGTTTTTCCGCCCTGAACTTTCAGCCAACCGCACCGGCACGATGTTCATTGTGTGTGAACAACTTGTGCCGCCCAGGGCCGCTGCTGTTTATACTATGCCGAATAACTTTTCATGGCGCCACGAAAAGATATCCGGTATAGCGGGAACATAGCCTGAATATGTGGCGCGTCACTTACCACAATCACATACTGACTCAAACTGTTGCTGATGACCCACGCCGCCGCAGTAGTTGCTTAGAGTCCCTCCTATGACTGGGCGGCTATTTGGCAAGAATAATAAATGAAGAATTACTATGTCAGTCTTTCAATCTAGTTTACAAGAAACTAATCCATCCCCTCGCTCATCAGAAAACCAAGATAGCAGATTAGTTCCAGTTGAAGATTCAGAAGACATGATCGATTTGTAGTGAATGGATCGTTTTCGAAATTTTCTATAACTGTTATGCTTCTTCCACACACAAAAGTCGAGCACTGAAGTCAACGTATACAAGCACAGTGGCAGAAAAGAAGAATAGGTGTTATACCAAAGCGTTTATAATGGAGGGTAGAGGATGGAAGGAGAAATATTCGACGGGGATAGCCTTTGTCAGATCAGTTGGAGCAAGTGCAAAATGTTACTTTGATTGCATGTTTACTTTAGAATAATGTTTCAGTTTTTAGCAAGTTAAACCGAAAATGAAACTTGAGGAACTTAACTTATGCACGTATTTCTTAAACCACCGAGATTTACAAAGGGATTGGGATGTAAATTAAATAATGTGTCGTATGCTTAAAATCTCGTACCAAACTTCGCATGGTTCAACGGTTTTTAAAAATTTAATTAAGTTTAAAGGGATCGCGCTGAGATATTTTCACAAAGTTTGGTACATCGTGAATGTCGTCCGATATTCACCAACTTCAACCAAAGAAGACACCGACGGTTTTAGGTAGGCCACATACGTACTGTAGATATTCACCAACATATCTCACTCAAGAGTCGCATTGTTCTTAAAACTGTGTAAAAGCTATATTTACAACTCCCTTAACCCCTCAAACCACTGATTTTCTCAGCTTATGTTATAAAATTTAGTTCCACCAAAACATCATTTTTGTCATTTTTCATCCTTTCTGAGTTCACTTGTAAAATTAAGTTTACGATAGACCTTTTTGCTGTAAAGGGAAGAAAATTAAACTTGGTTGGGTCACAATTGATGACTGCCCAGTTTCTCGTGCAAGAAGTCAGGTATTCTGCTTTACGTCAATCTTTATTGTGTATTTATTATTATAATTCTTCTTACTTTCTAGTGGCACTTAGCTTTTGCTGAATATTCCATTTTATAAGAAGAGGGCCTCTAAAAAAATCCATGCATAATTACGCTGAATAAGAAATTGTATAAATACTCTTTTTTGTTAAAATGCCAAATTCGACACATCAAAGTGTTGAACGGAATTTCTTCCGCAAGAATATATTTTTTGCTCTTGTAGTTTTCTTCCACGTAATTTACAGAGGAAATACTTAATACTGCTTAAAAAAAAACTTTTCCTTCAAAAGGTCGTAGAATTAATATATTAATATATACAGAAACAGTGCTCTGGATATTTTGAACGACACTGATGTCGTGTGAGTCTTGTGTATTGTTCAATTTCAATGGCCACTTATGACGTTAACAATCCTTTACATGGTTAACTAAAAACCGCAAAAAAGGAAGGACCGTGCTCTGAATTTGCCAAAACTTAGCTTGGTTCCTAAACATTTTATTGTAACCTCGGTATAGAAAGCAAAATAAATCCAAGAAAGTACTTTTAATCTAGATCATGGCTCAGCCGACAATGAGTCACTGGTTTCTATATTCAAATTTACACATCTTTTGTGTTGGAACACATTACAAGTTAATCAAGTGTGAAACGACAATAATACGTCCCATGCGACACATACGAAAGTTAAACTCGAAAGCGGAAAAACTAGTGGAACATAAAAGGGCCAGTTAAATGCCTTCGAATAGCAAAATAAGAGCGACTTTAGGTATATTTTGACAACAGTGCCTTCAACAGCTGGGTTATTTGTGGCGCTCAGCTGAAATTTCCCATCCGATTGAAATATTTTCATAAGAGTGTAAGAGAGGGCAATCTCAACCCAGTGTTGGTACAATATGACGTTTTGATATTAGCGCCAAAACAGAATCACTGATCAGTGCTTGTGAAAGGAAAGGTCGGATGTTATGGTGCGAATAGTCTTTTTAATCCTGGTCTTTTTAACAACTGCTAACAGCAAACCAAAAGCCAGCTTTGAACATGTGGATAACCTGATAAAAAAATACGGTAAGTTAATTATATACAAACCATTTTGTCTTTTTTTAAAGGGTTCGCAAGTTAAATAACAAGCTTTCTATTCTTAGCTTTAGAGAAACGTAGATTCGAAGTATGCCAACTTTCGACGAGATTTCAACTTAAATCGTCATAAACTGCCCAAGTTATGTCTCTTACAAGGGAAAACTATTTCATCACTGTTCTTTTTTTTTTCATTTTAGTGAATTTCATTCTATTGGCCTTAAAGAATTTACCTCCAACCATAATATTTTCCCGTTTTACTAAGTTGTTATTTCCGAACTAATGGAAACGAATTTGCAAATAGTTCTTGATGCATAGGACTTTTGTTGTATCAGCTTCAGCGGAAAATACGCTTTGGCTTATCACACATTTAGACTTTGTCTTATTTTTGGCTAAGAACAGTAGAAATTTTTATCAAAAAGCTGAATAGTAATGAGTAAGGTAATTTCCATAAGCGGAAATTTTATATCCTGATTGACGCACGTCACACTCGTGTACTTGAAACTTATTTAAAGGATACACCCCAACACCATTTATTTGCAGAGTTTTAAGTTAAGACTGAACGGAAATATAAAAATTTAAGCTGGCGAAATCATACAACAATCAACTTAAAAATCTCTGAGACAGTGGGGCCCTTTAAGGGATGTATTTTTAAAGTCTTTGTTGAAGTAAGGTCACGTTGGAGAAGAATTAAGGCTTTGCGTCGCTGCCAAGGGGTATAGTCACTGCCAAGATGGGGTGCGATGAGATAGTGTACGGTGTTTTAACCAACTTGTTACTAAAACTTTCCGTGAGAGGAATAAATCTGTGCTTAAGTCTCTAAAAAATTCGAGTTCACCATCAGCAGTTATGACTGCTATTTGAGGAATTAAAAATAGCACTGCGTAAATTATGCCTCTATTTTTAATCTTCCTTAAGACTTACTCTATCCAAATTAATGGCGTAGTTTTTACATATTCTGCTGTAAAAGTTGAGTTCATCTTTTCTATAACTTTTCAAATGTTTTAAGTGAAATTTTAAAGTACGAAGGCATGCACTTGCAAATTGCGTTAGCTATGATGACTTGACGTAATATCATCACTAGTGCAAGCAAAATATCTTATACTAGCCGTATGATGGCTTCCGCACTTCGTTGGTGACTGTACTAATCAAGTCCTATTTATTAGCACTCTAATCCGACGAAGTCGCATTCAAGCTACATGTACTTTTGCCAGAACTCCTGACTTCAAGACTCTAACTGTTAATGTAATGATAAATTTATTTACTGGAAAAATGCGTTAATCGATGAGCATACCGAGAAACGGTCTTTCCGGACAATTGCAGTACTTGTTAGCTTTCTCTCTCTCTCTTTTTTTCTCGTCTTTTCAAAACATGCCACCTCGAGTCAAAAATTCAGCAAAAATGATTACCATTTCACGCTTCCCGGGAGTTTTCCTTGTGTTACCCGAAGTCGGAAAAGGATTTAGGAACGTTTTATTTTCACGACATTAACCGTTTGGTAGAATTTCCGGTTAACGAGAGAAAACGAGCTGTTCAACCCCGTTTTCCATGTGCTGGATAATGTGACATGAACAGCATATTTTCCCTCTGTTAGGTGATGGTGAATGCCAAGTTGTCCTTGTCTTTTCCGAAGTTAGAAAACGAGTCACGAACGCGATATTTTCCTTACATTAACCGTTTGGTAAAATGTCAGGTTAACGAGAGAAAGCGCACTGTTCAACCACGTTTTCCGTGTGCTGGAAAACGTGACGTAAACAGCAAATTTTCCTGGTGTTAACGGATTGTGAACGCCGAGTTTTCCTTGCGAATTCCGAAATGAGAAAACGGGTCGTGAACGTGGCATTTTCAATACATTAACCGTTTGGTAAAATCACCAGAAAACAGGAGATTTTTTTGCCGTGAAAATGGTCCGTGCAACGTACAGTCTTGTACGTTGAGATGTCCTGAGAGGTCCGTTTGCGTAATTGAAAAATGCGTAAAAGGTAACCGTTGGTTAAATTTTTGACTTGAGGGGTTGTATGTTATTGAAGCCACACACACACACACACACTATACTTTATTTTCACACACATCATTTTGCCATCTCCTCCCGCAAATAGCAAAAGCGAGACGAGGCGGGTGGAGAGGATAGGTTACAGCAGATTGTAAAGTAACTAAATAAACTATGTGGATAAATAAGAATTACAGAAAAACAAGCTAAAGTTACAAAATATATAAACCCACAGCAACAAGTGGGGAGACTTTGAAGTAAGAAAGGGGATGGCTGCTGATTTATTTTATCTGTTTGTTGTTTCAGTGGAAGATGACGTTACTTCAAGGGCCGAAGAGAATCCTGGTATGAAAAAAAAAAACCTTTTTCCTTGTCACACTGTTATGAAAACGACCTAATTAATTATTACACCGAGCACCGAGAAGTAGTAAAGTGACAATGAATACCGTATTTACTCGAATAAGCGCCGCACATGAAGTGGAAAAGTTCATAAGCGCCGCCTTCGAATAAGCGCAGGACCGGAGACACGAAAAGTTTAATAAGCGCCGCGACGCTTATTCGAGGAAATACGGTAACTATGGGTCTCTTAATTTGTTTTGGGATTTTGTCTACAATAAATCAAGACTTCCTTGTTCTCATTACAGTGTTATTGTTAACTACATATTACAATGTTATTGTTAAAAGATTAATAATTTGTTAATGGATTCTGTCTCAGAAACTTCAACGATCTCGTGCTGCGTTCACTATTCAGTTTTTTTTCTTAACCCCTATTATGATTGCAATTGGTTTCAGCTCTTTTCGAGGGAGACATTGTGATTGATGAAGACACGAAACGATATCTTCTGGGTGGAAACATCATGTCACGCGATGCTGTTGTAAATCCTATATTCTACTGGCCAAATGGTGTCGTTTATTATACTTTCGACAGTGACTTAGGTAAAAAAATTAATCGATATAATTAATCATTTTTATTAATGTCATATTATTTTCACGGTAAGAATTGATTGTTTTTTTTTGTCTTCCTGTTAACTCTCTGAGAATCCTGTATAATTATTGGTGTACTGTAAAGCAACAGCTCATCGAAAAAGACCAGAAGGCTAACTAAGGTAGTGTTTACATTACACTCGGGCGACTTTCACGCCGGCGCGAGTTCACTCCGGCTCCCTCCCATGGCTCTATATTTCAGTGTTAACATGATACAACCACAAAATGTCATACCAGCGCGAGTCACCCCGGCGTGATATCACCCCGGTTGTTGTACCGGAGCGAGAATTTCACTCCGGTTCAAAATTTCGCAGCGGCATCGTGTAAACGCGAAACGACCACCTGTTTCGGTTTGAAATCTTTCGGCCGGTGGACTGGGACGGGTAGCACATGCGCAATGTTTGCGATTTTGAATCGCACGTGTATTTTATTAACATGAAGTGTACCTTCGAATAACCGAGATATGAAACGACCCATCATCATGTAAACGCGATACGAAATCAAACAGTCATCCCGGCATGAAACCTGAGCCGGTGTGAGTTTTGTCATGTAAACACCCCCTAACTAACTAAGAGTATAACTTTTACTGCGCTTTTCACAAACATGCGAATTCTGAAGTTCAAAAGCCAACTGACGATTGCGTTTTTCGCTGCCGTCAATCATCTTAACGGACCTAGAAAACAAGACTTTACTTTAATTGTTTCAAAAGGTCAAGGTTTGTGATTTGTGATTGGTGGATTTCGATTCGTTTTGTGTGTTTCTGTTTTTCCAGGTTCGTTGCGTGTGATCGTAATTATGATTGACAGCAGCGAAAAACGCAATTGTGAAGGCGGCTTTTGAACTTTAGAGTTCGCATGTTTGTGAAAGGCGCAGTAATCCCATGCAATATTTTCCTTTTTTTAAAATCCCATCTCTTTGCTGATTTAGCACAATCCACTATCGATCTCATCAAGAAAGGAATTCATCACTTGAGGAGAAGAACATGTTTGAAGTTTGTGCAAACTCCCCGAAATGACGGTCATCATAGCAGCTACATAAAGTTCTTTAGCGGAAATGGGTAGGTGTTTTTCCTGTAAGTCGTAAATGCAGCATATCGCATTTCAACAAGTTTATTAAGCTCTATTTTAAGCAAGGCAATGTTTCCACCATTTTTTGTCAATCGCCGAAATGGACTCGTCTACTCTTGGCCAAAAAGTACAAGTATTGAAGTATTGAAAATGCCCTAAGGAATCATAGGGTTCTAATGTGAGAAGGAAGATCCTGGAATGTGTACGTGTACCTAATTGAAATAGTGTTATTAAATAATGATAATGATAATGATAATGATAATGATAATGATAATGATAATGATAATGAAAATGATAATGATAATGATAATAATAATAATATAAGTGACGCAGGTGATTCACTCGGATCTATGTGGAAAGCTGGGTTATGACAAGGATGAAAAATATTACAACCATGGGCCACAACCAGTGTATGCATCAACTCCCAGAAGCTGCTGTGGACTTCAAAATACCGACTGACAACTAAATTGAACACAGCAAGCCTGAAATTGTAGTATTGGATAAGATAGAATGGAAGTGCCAGATTATTGATGTTGTTTGTCTGTCTGACACACGAATGAAAGACAAAGGGGAGGTAGAAATTTGAAAACTACCAATACTTGAAACGGGAGTTGAAACGTATCTGAAAATTCTGCAGAGTAACTGTGGTGCCAGTCATAATTGGTGCATCAGGAGCTGTCTCGAAAGACATACAGAAGTGGCTAGTATAGCAGAGATTGATGTCACATGTCGTTTAGACACATTGCAGAGAGCATGCTTATTGAGTACAGCCAGAATCCTTCGCTAAGTCTTGGACACCTAAGGTCACGGGTGGTGACTTGATGTTTAAGGAAGACTCCAGCAAGCCTAGTCTCCCCGCAGACGTCCTTTGGGGTTCGTTTGTCACGCATTCATGGAGAAATGAATGCTTGACAAACGAACCCCAAAGGACGTCTGCGGGGAGACTACAGCAAGCCATCCAAAAGCTGTGTTTTAATAAGGATAATAATGATAATGATCATAACGATGATGATAATAATAGTAATAATAATATTAATAATAATAATAAATGGAAAGGTAATGACAAAGAAGTCATCTAAATTATCTCTTTGAAAAGTTATTGAATTGGGAAGCGCTTGTTGAACCATAAAGCAATTTCATGTTTAGCCTGCGTAGCAAGCGTTTCCGCACGTTTTCGGAGCAAAGAACGAGAAACGAGAGTCAAAGATCGGGCGAAAATCTGAGTCCTCGTCGCTCCTCAGTCTTTCTTTGCTCCGAAACCACACGGGAACGCTTTCTACGCAGGTTATTCCATGTTCAGCAGATGAAACTGTAAAACGCAAGATTAAAATGTTAAAAGTTGACGGATTTTTTTTGTAACAGTTTTTAGCTCATGAAAGTAGGTGTATTAACATGTCATTTTTGGCTTTGGTTTAAAATTCTATGGAATGGGATTTTTTCAATCTGATTCCAGGAGGTATAGCCTCCACTCCCCACTTAAGGACTATCGTTCCCAAAGGTATTTGAGGCAAAATGTAGGAAGTAACAATTTATTACACATTGTTTTTAACATTGGCTATTTTGAAACAATCCCAAGATGCTATTCAAGGATTGGCCGAGATCCCAATGACAAGGAACAGGTAATCTCGATTGGACTTGGATGCGAGAGGCTTGGGACTGTTGTCCATGAGACCATGCATGCTTTGGGATTTTTCCACGAACACACCAGACCCGATAGAGACAAATACATCACACTAGACTGGGGTAATATTGAACAAGGTAAGTGGAACACTGTTTTTTTTTTCGTCATGGAAGATATTGATCATCGTGGATAATGTGTATAAACTGTTTAGATTATCGTTTGTGTCACGATTGTCACTTTGATATTGATCGCGACGTTTCGACCGCACACTGCAGGTCTTGTACCATCGTGGCTGTTAGTGATTGGTGTATCACAAACTTCGCTCATGGTCGGTGGGTTCGATCCAAAGCATTGTTGATTTTGTCAGAGGAGGATACTGTTCTCTCAGCGGTCCGCTTCGGTGGATATCGGTTGTCCTGTTGTCTGACTGTAGGCATCCACGCTTCAGGAATCTCAATACACTGTCCCTGTTGATGTCGTTAGCGTAAATTCTTATGTGGATAGCCTCTTTAATTCTACGAGAGTACCATTTGGTTTTCTTGTTTTCTATAGCCTTTTTACTTACGCTGCCATCAGCTATTTCAATTTTTGCCAAACGGGACTGCGTTTCATAAGAAACCACAGGACTGGTTTGGGACACCAACATGGCAGCCGTTTTACTCAAACGTCTTTAACGGTTTGAGCCTATGCAGAGGTCGCGAGCAATATCTCCCCTCACTTCAATAGTATTGTTTTCACAATTGAAAAGTTTACTTATTTGAAGCCATTCCTTAAAGCAAGTTATTTTATCATGGACGGTTCTTATTAAAAGTTGAAAATAGTGCTGGAGGAACTGTAGTGAACCCTTTATTATTATATACATACTGAGAAATACTCACCAAAAAGCTATGTCGTAAATTTTCGTACGCACATTAGTTCTAGCCAATCAGAATCGCGAACGATGGTTTTCACGTGTGAGAAAAAAGATACGTCCCATCAGAAGCCACAGAGGTGCGTGAGTTTCGCGCCAAAATTCCCGCCTTTTATTGCAGCTTGCAGCGCCGCTTCGCACACATTCAACGAGAAAAGTTTTACTCAAAGAGTTTTTCTCGTTAAAAAAAGTGAAAAACATTTCAGAAATAGAGTGGAATAGTTTTATTTGTTTCACTGTCGATAATGAAAACGGTAGAGAGCCGGCGAAACAACAGTGGAAAGGGAAAAACAGAACGAGGCGTAAGCTTTTGTTGTGCTTTTTGTCGGAGCTACTTTGCCTTTCATTTAAGCTTAACTTTTATTGAAACCGGCCATTTTTCATAAATTCACTCATTTTCAATTGTGCATTGAGAATACAGTTAAGATTACTCATAGTTCTTGGATTACCTCATATCCTTACCGTCATTTATGTTTTTAACAAACGTTTTTACTAAAAAGCTGATACTTCGTTTTCGTTGCCATTTTGCCGTAAGTGTGTAAAAGGCCGCCAAAATGATGAATGTCTCAGTATGTATATAATAAACACAATACCACATGGAAAGTGCTTTGTACGGTATTTACGCACTCGTTGTTATTGTATCAAAAATCTTACTCGTTCGCTGCGCTCACTCGTTCGATTTCTGATACGTCAAAAACTCGTGCGTAAATACCGTACGCCAGCACTTTCCATGAAGTATTCTCTAGTTTCGGCACAGTTCCGAGCCACGGCCTTGATCCACGCTAGTTCTTATTATCTATTCTAGTTATTATACATGAAGCTATTCAGCTCTAAAATCACTACCATTTTTATCTTTTCTAGAGCATGCACATAACTTTCGAAAGTATCCTCGTGATCTGGGATCCTCCTTCGGTAAACCATATGATTACCATAGTGTAATGCACTATAGCAAGTACGCATTTGCTAAATATAGAGATATTCCAACTATCGTCCCAAAAGACAAGAAAGAAGTGATCGGCCAGAGGTTTGGTCTAAGCTATCAGGACAGAGAGGAAATCAACAAGCTGTATCGATGCAAAGGTTAGGGGCTAATTCATATGCATTAAAAATCGGGCCAATAAAGTAGAAGATGGTATTGTCCTAAGGCATGAGTCGGGGGAAATAATATTCCCGTAAGAGAAATTACCGGGAAACAATAACTACTACTATATATACTGGGAACAAAAAGCCATAGCACGTAATATAAGGAGACGTCAATTTGGTTGAGTGCTGCGCTGTTTGTAACTGTCTTGTGTAGTGATGTAACAGTTGCTATGTGTGCTGAAGGGGGCTGCGCCATAGGCAACCAGTACGTTTTTTTGTAACAACAAAGGAACGTTGGTTCAATTGCGTGAACTTAGAGTCCCAGTTGTTGAATAGGTGGATAGTACCATGCATTATCCATAGGATAGTGCATCTGGATTTCGAAAAACTTATCCAGTGGATAGAGACTCATCCCGGCGGTGGATAGAGTTATCGACCTTTTGAGGAACTGGGGCTAGTTAGCTAAGTTAGAGTTATCGACAAATGTTCAACTACATAATTCCAATAAAAGGGATAGCAAAAGCAGCGGTGAGTGTTATTGTTGTTCAGACAAGGTTTGTCTCTCTGCCAACAATGCTACGCAATAAACAATCAATGCAACCAGCTGACATCTGCTTTTGTTATTCTTCTAGTTATTTACTTATTTATTCATTTACATTTATTTATTGTTTTTTGGTTTCTTTTTCTCAGAGGGATGCGTTGACGAAATAGACCCATACAAGTGTGTCCTTTTCAGAAAATTTGGTATGTGCTCAAGTGAGCTCCATCAGCAAAAAATGATAGAGAAATGTCCAATGAGTTGCGATTTTTGCGGTAAGCGGTTACTCATATTTAAGAAACCTAAAAACAGGACGAGGCTTAAAAATCAGTAACCTTGGAGAGGGGAGGGGTACTATAGTTTTCGGGAATTGAATGAAAGCTAATATTGTTTTCTTAACTCTTTGTTTTACATAGTCTTCTCGTCAATGGAAAGTCATACATCATGAATCACAACTAAGTTCACGAAACGGTGCACAAATTTATTGAAATCAATTTTTCAGTTTTGGCGTCGCTTGCGGAGGTAACTGTATACGTCAATTTTAATTGAATCCAACGCTGATAAAGCAACGAATATTTTGTATCTGATCGGACGATTGTTCATTGTATTTCGTTTTGGGCCAAAGCTACTTGTCTTTCTCGTTATATATTTAGAAGAAAGACGCGTATGGTGGTGGCCTTTACTAGTATTTTGCAAGTAGGTAGGTACCTTGGTAAGAAAATGTGGTAAGCTACCCATTCGAGAAAATTTGGTAATCACGTGACCGTACACCGACCGACCGCCCGACCGTCCGTCCGCACCACAGGCATACTAATGTAAAATAACTCAATCAACAGGTATGGCAACCCAAATGCAACTTGAGGTTATTTTGACGGGAAATCGCATAGCCACCCGCGTCTTGTAAAGCAGAGACAACTAAAGAGTCAATGAAGACGAAAGCGGAAATTGTCTCTGTATCCGTGTTTTCTTAAGTATTAAGCTTAGATTAATTGTCAAGTCCACAAATTTGGAATATAGAGCAAGAGAAACACAGGGAAAAAGAGAAAGTAGGCGGCAGGCCAGCGAAGCTCAACGAGAAAAAGGGCGACAGAGATCTAGAGCGAGAGATAAAAAACAAAGGAGACATTATTTTGTTGTTGGAGGAACAACATGAAAATTTTGTAGCGGCGGCGACAGAATGAGAACTGCTAGCGGCCACATGAATGATAGATGGGATGACCCACCACATGTTACCTCACCTATCTGGGGTCCCACTCCTCCATGTAAACAGGCTCTAAGACGTTTCTGGAAGTTTCACGTTGTAGTCGTGCAATTCAAAACAACGGCAAAGAAATGTACAAAAAAGTGTGCTGCACGTGCAACGTTGCATATTAGACCTATTGTTGTTTTTCACCGTTCTCCGGCTTTGCCTTCGCCGCTTAGCATTACACGATTTTATATTTTGTTTGAACAAACTATAAATATTGTCGAGAGCTTCGCTTTCAGCCTTGGCTAAATCGATACATTATTTTTCATTGTAATCGATTACACAGGCTCCTGCGATGGAAGCTCATAGGTCAATGACGGATCCAGGAAAGCCCCCCCCTATTTTTAGACCAAACTGAGGCCCGAAGGGCAACAAAAATTTTTTTGGATACCTGGTCCCCCCTCTATCTAAGGGTGTGGTTGACCCCCGCCTTATCTCAAGGTCTGGATCCGGTACTGTAGGTTGACAGATCTTGAAGTATGCTTGTGATACACAGTAATGAAAAAGCTAATTATATGAAGTAACCAGGCAAAACATAGTGGCATCTTCTGCGTGTATGCAAGATAAAGGTTGTGTATGTCTAGTTGATAGGCTTGAACTGACTGTTTTGAATTTTTTTAATACATTGATTTTCTTTTCTTGTAGGGAAAAGAGACTCGAAAGTCAAGAATGCAAGTCCAAACAAGAAGAATTAGACTTAACAGCTGATTTATTAAGTTGCAAAATGTAACAATTATTTTTGTTTTATAATCATTAAAGCCGAAAGTGCTGTTTGCTTGTCTCTTCCTAAGACATATTAGTGAAAACACTTTCTTCACAAACGGAATTATATAAGCGAACCGAAGCAAAGAAACCTTGACATCCCCGACGTCAAAGGAAACAACCGGAAGTTAATCTTATCATTATTATCTGTTACATTGAAGTGACTCGATCACATCATACTACAGGAATAAAAGCCAAAGCAGTTTCAAACCTGGTTACGTCAGACAGAAGCGTTTCATTAAGTGGTATAAACAAACTTCTGTCGCACGTCCCTGGTATTCACGACGTTCACCCAGGACGTCAGTGTTCTCGTTATTTAATTTGCTGGGGGAGCTACTTAACAAACGGCAGGTGTCTGACCGATCTCTAACCCCTTACCCTTTTGTATACAGCTTTTGACAGAAATGGTACCTGTTTCTTATACATTCCATTAAAAGTGGTATTCTTTAACACTGTATCACCCATTTTTGATACTTAAATGAAGCATTTCCCCCAAAAATTTAGAACAAAATAGCTTCTCCATATACTTGGTTACGGGAATTTCCTACCCTCTGATATACTTGAAGCATAAGAAAGGTTCCCCTTTTTGGTGGAGCCTCCCCGGATAGGCTATTATATTATGGGAGGTGTGCCTCCTCTCAACCCATGGGCTTAGGTTCACGAATGGTCACTTGTTAACTTCTGGAAGTACAAATAGAAGCAATCTTCCACCGTCTTACAATGGCGCCTGTGGGAGTGGGCGTGGAATGTTGTTGGCCTGTGTTCACGTGTTTCGGAGAACGTAACGAAAACGCTCCATACCAAACAAAATTCTCCTGAAAATGTTTTTTTATTATTATTATATTGCTCAGACGTTTCTACCAAGAGAAGCTGTTAAGGTGAATTATACTTATTAATTGGGAGCCTTCATTTGATTTTCGCACGGGGTAATCCTGCCCCTGAAATAATGACATAAAAAGTGTTTATAAATCCAAATTAATTGGTGCATAATCTTTGAAATTGCAATTTGCACTTCTCCCATAATACACTTTTTTGGAGGAATGAAAAACAAAGGGCAATGCAAACAAGGTGTATCATGGGGGATATGCGAGGGACAGTCATCATCATTTCTGTCATCCTAATCATCATCGTCATCGTCGTCATCATCACCATCATTTTAATAAAGGGCACGAATAATAAGCCGGCAGGCATGAAAGGATCAAAACTACCTCGATGACCAGTCTAAAATGTCATTTATCTTCCTAACGGGTGGCAATGCCAACTGGGGGTTGGGGAGAAGAGACGTGTGACATTGCAGATCACTTGATAACTGGGTCAAAATCATAATAAGGCAACTACTCTTAACTTTAATTTAGAACTGCGATTGCAAAGTGTCTTCCAGTATCATAAATTAACCCTCACAACATTGTCCTTTAGCCTGCGAAAACAGCCGTTTCTCCTTGCTTCTCAGCTGACCACTTGGTCTCAGGGGAATCTACATTACATCAGGTTACGGCTTAACGAATTTACGGGTTACACTTTTTTCAGCCTGATCGAGAATTTTTCAGCCCATTGAAACCCAGTCTTGTGCGGCTCTATTCTGCTGCCGCCTCGCCATCCGAGCGTCTTCGCTCGAATGGCTCGTTGGCAATAAGAATTGACAAAGGAAAACCAAACGTCAGTAAAAGGTCAACTATGCCATTTTTAGGGATTTACTGAGTTTTGATGACTGGTTTGTGGGGCCTGAAAGATATTCTCAGTTCGCTCCAAAATCGTTCTAAAAATAAACCAGCCCGGGAGATATGCATTTCTGGATATATGATGACGTCACTGATAATTGCATCTTGGACCTTCGAAGAAAAATCAGTATTCGCAACGCTTTTGCGCCCCTATTATTCTGGTTCCTTTCATTTATGCCACGAGAGCACGCGTTATTTGTAAAGGAACATCAGAGGAACGTTTGAAACAAACGAAAGATGCTGTGCGTCTCTGCAACGCAGAGAAAGATCTGCCGAGTGGATTCAACGGTTCACTCATTCCACGTTAAGTGGGTAAATTACCATTTTTTGGTGTCCATGGCAAGTTTTGAGGACTCAAATTGTTTTCCCATAATCATTTCGCTGAAAAATACTTAAAATATGCCCAAACAAATAGCGACAGTACCCCTTTGTGCTCCTGTAGACAGTAACTTTGAGGGAATCAAGGCCAAAAGTGTCCAAAAAATGCAATTTTGCTATGTCCGCAGAGAGGGTGGGTATAGAAGGTTACGGTATATTTGTGCTTGTCGCCTTATACTATGGAAACTAATCAATCCAATGTCTCGGGAGGGACCTACACTAAAGTCCTACATGATCATTTCTCACTGCAGGTCAGTTTTAATTACAGTGAACTGGTGTCCGCTATTTTTATGAAACTTCCGTTACCGATCTGAGGGCAGATCACAAATGGCCTAGAAATAAATATTGAGAATGATTTACATCGGGTAAATATTACTTAAGTTTGCTCTTTTTGATACGCAATACATAAAATGAAGAGCAAAAGCCTGTGGAAAGAAATTGCATCTCACAATAGCAGGATTTAGGGTGAACAGTTAAGGTTGTAACTTCCGTTACTAAGATTACAGTAGGAAAAAATGAAAAGTGGGTCGTGCTGATTTTTGTGGTGACGGAGGAGCTAGTGAGGATTATTATGGAGTATGTTTGGTTTTTCCGAGTTATTAATTTCACTTAAAGATGTAACAGAAAAGGTAGAATTTTAACTTCCGTTACTGTAAGTTTCGGGAAATGCTGTCACACGATTGCCCCATCAAACAACTCAAGCCTTGATGACATCTGGTGAGTTTCGTCATAAGTACACCCTCATACGTGTTCCATTGGTGAGATACCTCTCCGCTGTCAAGTGTGATAAGGAAATTTTAGCTGAGTTTATGGTTCGCGGAGTTTTTTGCATAGTTTAAAGAAGTTTATTTTCCTTTGAAGTATTTCTAAGAAATTTAGGAATATAAGATGAAAATGGGACAGGCTTCTTGATCATTTTAATTTTTTTTTTAAAGTAACGGAGGTTACACAAAACAGGAAGTGGATTGTCTGAAGCTGTTTTCGCTAGTTCAACCCTCTTTTCTGTGAATGGACTTTATAATATTCATGTATTACAATTCTTGTACGAATTCTAACAGATTACCATGTATCTATTAATTTTTTTCTTTCAATTCAATTTATTTTGCTCATTTTGTTGTTTTTAGCCTCGTTCCACCCAAAAATTCCAAAATTTCATGATGGACGATGGTTTCAGTTTGG